CAATTTTAAGCCTGCTTAATCATTATGCGAGTGATAGCTCATGATTATAATTCACACCATTTATAAATTTACAATTCCGTTGTACTGGCACTCTACAAACGTGTTAGTGGTTAATTTATAATACTAATGATATCCAGTCAATTAATATTTTTACAAATACCTTCATCTAATTGATATCATCTAGTTAAGTTAGTTAGGATTTATAACTATATGTAATGGACATAACATTTAAGTCCACGGACCATACAATTGATGATATAGTCTAGATTGTTGAGTTGGATGCAATTACATATCAGTGTTAGAAATACCATTACTTACTGAACATTGTTAAGTAACTAATCCTAGAAACCAAAAAATTGGATAGAGCCGCCAAAGCAAATATTGTAAGTATGGTGGGGTTGAATAGCCTAGCCATCAGAGCAGTGTTAATATCCGGGGGCAAGTAGACTTTTATTACGGTGAATAGATTCTACTCATTATTTCATTTCTAGCTCCGGGAGCTGTTCCGGTGGAGTTGGGCCGCTCTTATCTCTTAGGGGAAAGCATTATACTGCCAGATCGCTAACATTTTTGAACAATAACTGTACCTAAGCCTCAACTGAACTGGGAAACAATGTGCAGTTTTGCTAAATACGGTCTTTTCTATAAGCATTTATGTAGGTTATTGAACTACATGTCAATGATTGATCTATCACTCTAGTACATGTAGTAGTGTCAGTGCTTTACTTTACCCAACACGAAATAGTTTCATCATGGCTAGTGCCTTGTCCCGAACCAGGCCCAATCCGGGCTGGGTGAATTAGGAATACCAAGTTTAGCCAAAGTCTAGTTTAAGACAAGTTACATATACATGTAGCTACCCAAGGAACCAATCAATCAATCAAAAACTAGTAGTATGATTACTATACTACTAGTACTTAGCAGTCTCAAATAAGGCTTGAGCCTGATTAGAGCCTTGACGTTCCGCCGTTTGGGACCCAGTCTCACGGATTCGAGCTTCTTATATATTGAGATATATATGTGAGAGCTGTAAGTACATTAACTTATTATATGAATTGGGTTATCAAAAAGATAATTGATGCATCCGAAAGAGTGCTGACGATGGCTACTACACTTGGTTATAATGCCGAGTTAATATGGCATGTTATAATATACGCAACCTCCGGATGATCAAGCTTTATATATTAACTATCTCATCTCTCAATATATACGTTTTTCTTTTTTCTTCTTTTTGGGGGGGCAATTGTACAAGCTATGACCATCCCTTTAGCGGTTCATAAACGGGCGTGTAGAATCGTGTCTATTTCTGCAATCATTTCCTTTTCTTTTTCATTAAGATTCGCAGGTATCCGGACTCAGGATTATCCTACGGCGCGTCTTATCACGGATATCCGCCATAAGTATGCCCCTTAACGCCAAGAATTCATGACAGAGCTACTGCACGTGTCTTCATGGATTCAAAGAAGCTGCTAATATTATCATTACCCCCTGATTACCAAACCTTTAGACCGCAGCCTGTTTATCAAGATGAGGTGTATTCCCTGCATATTTTAAAAGCCCTCAACCCTCTGTGATATTTAAAGAGCACGTGACTATGCATATTATGGGGATGGCAATACCCGCCTTATATACTCTACATTCAATAAATAGAGCCAAACCGCGTAAATATGGGTGTCGATCTAGTAAACGGTCCGCATAGCAAAGCTCTTATCCCGAAGAGCCTCGTAACCGATAGACTTCGAGTACTCCCGAGGCTCAGAGAACCATAGTGAGGGCCCCGAATAAATTTTCGGTCATTTGTTCCGTCAATTAGAGTCTGTAGAGTGTTGTAGTGAATTGGTGAGGCTTTGTTACGTTGCCCCGCGTGACCTTTTTGCTAGATTGACACCAATATCTACAGAGATCCCCCCCTCTCCCCCCCTTCCCCCGAGCCTCATATATAGTCTTTCTCATTAACAGAGGCTTAGCGGTAAGACCCCTAATATACCGAAACTAGCACAACCACAACCTCAATTACAATTCCAGGTTGTCTTGTGACCTTATAATGTATCTGTATACATTTCTTACTGCTTATATCCACTTGGCAGTGCAGAAACCTAGGAAATATGCGGGCAATTGCATGCGAGTGATCTTCCATGATTAACTCCGTAAATCAACTAACCTTGCTAAATTACCGAAGAATTGCCCGCTTAAAGTTGCGTTAAGTATTGCGCGGTAATAAACTGTGCTTATATGTATGATCGGCAATAAGCGGCTGGATAGAGTACACGGAATCGATATCGTATTTTTAGATGTTCGTTAAGTTCCAGGACCAGGTTTCGTAGAATGAGCGCGTTTGTGTTCTTGAATGCAGTTCGCAGTTTCACAGGCCGACTAATCAGCCTTACGTAGATATCTGAGCTAATCGAGGGTAATACATCCTCGTCCATATAACCCAGTAGAGAGGCTCCCAGTAGATGGATGTCCATGTTAGCAGGGCCGGCCCTAGTTAGAACGAGGGTGGCTTTATTGTCAAGAAAATTCCGTGAATCTTGATTTTATGCATAAGATGAACTGCCGTTAAGAATGATAGTTCAGTAAAGGGATAATGTTTATACTACTTAAGAATTGAATCGTACCTCATCATGAACTTTTTCACTGCCACTCTTTTGGAATGTTTGTGGAACCTAGACCAGCTGATCAGCTGATATCAAAAGGGTTTTGGAGCCGGTAGCTGCATGTAGCTAGTTAGCTAAAGTCAATAGAAGACGTTAGGGTTTGCAAACTCTCAAATGCGGAGATCGGAGCGCTTTGATCAATTATAATCTCCACATCAAATGCCTTATTGCTTGACCTTACTCTGAGACAGTAGTTCTGATTTTTCTCTTATCCCACTACCCATCTAGGGACTCCACAGTGAGACAAGTTACGAATGAGTGAAAGGGAAGATACCGAGCCGAATTGCCGGTTAAAAGGAGATGCCAGGTGTAAAGCTACTAGAACAACCCAAGTCGGTTGTGCCCTTCATTACCAGTGCATGCATGCATACAGTAAGTACATGTACATACATACCTACACGTTTCTATTAATTTGGACATTCGCTACGGTTGAACCTGGGAATACCGAAATTCTACACCATCCGTGACTAAAATCTCTGCCTTCTTAGTACTGTAAGTAGTAATTCGGCACCTCAAACGTAATTTTCACATGACACGAATTTGAAAGAAAAAACGCACAAGTGTAGTCCTATGCTAGGGGCGATTCAAGGGGGTCTTCAACCGCAACATCTCAATTCAACAAATCCTACCACAGCGCAATCTCCTGCCATTATGCTATAGATCTGCAAACCCTCCGAAAAGTCCCCTTGTGAATCTTGAACTTCTTGCTTTGATTGAGACACAATAGCCGGAGCTTCGAGCCTCTCCCGAGCTCCCGATGCATGGCGCTTTATGCAACCCCGTCGTCTACCCATTGAGCTCTCAAGAAATGTTTCAGAATGACCACGAAACAAACGGACCCTGTTCGTGCTCGCCAAGACACGGAACAAGATGACTTAGAAACTGCTTGACGCGGATGTGTGGGCCTCGCTGGTGTGGAATTCAACATTCTACGGGTGTAGAGAAGAAAATAAAAAGGAAGTCAACTCACGAATGTTTCTCTGGTCAACTATAAAAAAGTAAGGCTTGAGGCTGAAGGAAGCCAGATCTTCGGAAATGTACGTAGGGTTTAGGTACCTACATTGTGTAGGTACTGTACATGGAAAGAACTCGCAGCCAGGATCTTTACCAATACACCTCAGGACAAACTACGAGCAGCCCTTGCCAGATTGAATGGTTTTGATTGGCAGTCAAGCCACCCTTCCAATAAGACGACCTTTTAGTTTACCTATAATTAATTAAGAAATATTGCTCTTCCGCTAGAGTTTTCAAGGTCTCGGCTTCCACTAACTGTCTTAGCTAGTGTATACATGAGAATTGACCGTGACTGGCGATGAGGAGACACTTGCATATATTTCATTTGACATTGGTTGTAGGGAAATTTCTTAATCCACGTAACTTTAGCCTTAGTTCAGCAGGGCTACATAAGAACAATCTAGCTCATTGCTTTTCAGTCTCATTGCCGAGAGACCGGTCTTCTGTCCATCAAGTAAGCTTTTGCATTTACGAGCCACATGTAATAATAGCAATGCGTGTACTAGGAGTATGCCATGAGGCAAAGATTGGGTGTACCTACATATCTGCATACATGTCGAAATTGCCCTTTTCAAAACCTTCTGTCATGGTCTCACGCATGAGACTCACGTTAATCAGCTGCTGGCCGGTCTGAGTACCATATGTATATACCACATGGATGTAAAGAATCTCAAAAATTCAATAATTAAAGAACAAAGGGACTTTTTTAGGAGTGGCACAGCTCAAAGGCACATAACCCCAGGTTATGGCAATGCTTGCAAACCGCTAGCTTGGTATCCATCCTTGATCGCTCTTCAAGACCTTGTAAACATCTATGTTTTTGATCTTGTGACTACATAATGTAGAGAACCAATCGGGTTACCAGACGCCCAATAGCTTGGCAGGCCGTAAGCACCGCCGGTAGTGTTCCGTCTTGAGCAGAAGAATGTAGAGTAACGTCCAAAACCGCAGGGAGTCCCCTAGACTTCTGAGTTTCAACTCTGAGATATCGAAAGGAGTGTCCGAGACTAAATTTACAGGAAATTCATTCCAGCATCGGAAAATTCACGATTTGTGGATTCGATAACGGGCCGAAATACGAAGATTCGATTATTGCTTTTTTCCAGGCCTGCCAGAAACCATGTCTCAGTGCGGGACGGTACCCTGTGATCCCCCAGACAAGCGAAGGGCGCCTATTAATTATATCAGTGTTATTTGGATGATGTTTCTGATCGCTGAGGATCATTAAGAACCGGAAGCCGAGTGCTTGCTAATAATCTCAATGGGGTGAAAATTATAGCAGCAATATGACTACATAACTTGGAAGACCCTGTTAAGGGAGTTGGTGCCTCAATTGAATCTCAGCGAATCAGCGAGGGGTGCTCGGCTGTTTTCTTTTCCGCGGCGTCTCTGGCGCTTGATAAATAGTAGACCAGCAGCGCGCGGTGGGCACTGACTGACTCGCTTGATCACCGCGCACCACTGCAGATCTGAAATGCAGACACACGTTGAGATCAGGCCGAAATCTATTTGAGATTTGAATCCTTGCTTTGGCGCTTACTCTTCTTGTGTGCTGGTGTCATACTCATACCTACTTGGAGACAGGCATAGGCCATGTCAGTACCAACGTACTCCCCTCTTTTGCTCTTCAACGGTAATCCTCAAGCACCTGGATCCTGCGAAGATCATGAAGACAAGAAAGAGACCGCACCACGCAGAACTAAAGGTGATAAATGACTCCAGATCGTTCCATAACCTTATGCTTGGGCAGAAACGGAATATTTTAGTCGGATCTGATGTTTGATTCCGGAAACGCATAATATTTTTTGCACACGGTTGTAATTAACCGCCGACCCGCTGCCTGCTTGATTCTCCAAGGAAAAAACCACCCTACATATCATGCGGCTCCAAAACTATTACAGCCGCATCTGCAGTCCACTATGGCAATAATTCAGTACGGACCACTAAATTATGGGGACATCCATGCCGATTTCTTCCCTCCTTCCTCAAGGTATCAGTGCACCCGGATTTGATACCTGATGAGGCTGATTGAATTTGCATGCGGAGCCGAGATATGTGGAGAGAGAGCTGCAAATATAGCCCATATGTGCGTTGTGTGATGGATTGCACAGAGCCCCATTCTTACATGGTCAGGTATGGGAAACCACTCCCGAATTGTTAGAAACTGCTTCTCCTAGTATGTTTTCAGAGGATGTACCTAGCTCTCGACAAGCGAAGATTCATGCCCCACACGGTTTCGAGTTCTTTTGTGTACCCATAACCCAGACATACTGGGAATGGCTATTACTTGGCCAATGCGCTTTGAGCATTGACATATGGTATTCTGATGGGGCTGAGAGATGTGCAGCTGTGTAGGTATGTATGTAGAGAGAAAGTAAGTATGGGTGGATCTTGATGTGCCATGGTACATCCATTCTTCATGATCCGTCAATCAATTAAGTCAACCGTGGGATTCATAGGGAAGCCAGATCATGACTATCAGTTTGACTCCACATATATGTACTTACTACACATCAACGTACTCTACATACCACCTGGTTAAGCAACCACTAACTATCTACCCGTATGTACCCAATACCGTTAAATTTAAAAGCCTCAGACTGTGTAAATCAGACTGGCCTTACCGATGAGCCGCCTGCCGACCTGCAGGGTACCAAATTTTATACTCCCATCGCCCCCCAAAATCTGGAGCGATCTGAATTGAACGTCCCCATGTATCTAAGTACTTGGCTAGCTAGAAACATATATTCCCATTACTATGCTGCTCCCCAACGCCCAATTCCTGAAACAATCTCAACCCTCCCCCCCCCCCCCCCCCCCCCTCCAATTCACAACCCATTCAAGCAAGACCCCTCCTTCTAGTTCTTCTCATACTTCTAATTCCCATCGATCATCTTCCCCGGCCATGGCTTCAACATAGCTAGGTAGCTGCCGCCATACCTTAACACTAGCTGATTATTCTTTAAGAAGCCCTCAGTGTCTCTTCCCCCTCTTGCCTCGTCGCACATATCTGCATGGCATTGACGCCTTCCCGCCGAACCTCATCTAAGCGAGTCAAATTTTTATGCAAACCCTCCACGAGGAAGGTCCCAAACTATTAAAGAACGTCTGTCGATTTTAGTGACTTGATTTTTTTTGCTTCTCCTCAGGATTGCTTGACCACCATTGGACCCACTGGCTAGAACATACAGGTTGGCCCCCATACATACACTCATCCTTGTGTGCGAACCAGCCCCTTCCATCCAACTCACTGATGGCACTCCACCAATATCCATATCATTCATCCCTAGGCCCTAATTGCTTGCCCGCGTTGCAATTATCCCTCCCTATTCATATACTCATTGATTCTTTTTTTAAGTTTATCTTTTACTTTAGAGTAACTTACCTGTAAGATACTGTGCGTAGTTCCAAAAAATACTGGAATCCCGATTTCGCCAAATCTGTCCCATCTGTGCTGCTGGTCCGCAGGACATACATAAATTACACGCCGCCGCCCCATACACACAGAAAGAAAAAAGCCATTCTGTCCTATTACATACCTACTGATCTTTTACTTCTTCCCTCTTGACACTCGGTAACTGAACCTTACGGTGAGCCTCATCAACAAACCCCCTGCAAAAGAAGAAGAAAAAAAGAAATCAGCCTGCATCCCCATCATTGTAGCTTTGGAAATTAAGTGTGGAGTAGTAGCCACAAGGCGGCAGGCATTTCATGGACCTTTACCAAAGCTCGAATACTTTTAAGTACCCACGCTCCTCCGAAACCATCATGGCTGTTCATAATCCATCCAACCCACTATTACTACCACTCGATACTAGAGGAAGCCCAAGGAGGTTTGAAAAGAGATCAAACTTCAACATCAAGTCTGACTTTACACTATTTCCTCCTTCTTCTCCACTTGACAACTTCCTGTGCCAAACGTCCGATCCTATTTCGTCCAGACTATTTTCACAACCCACCACAGGCTCATATTCCATGGATACTACCACCATACCAACAACTGAAAATAATTCAACTACTGAGAAATACAAACCTTACCTTCCCTCACCTCTTTACGTGAGGGACCCCGAAACCTCTTCACCAACCTCCGATCACTTGAGCTACACTTGTAGCAGCGGCAATACAAAGTTCAACCCACCACAACAAGGCCAAGGTCAAGGTGGTATTCATAATAGTCTACCACTGGGACGAATGCGAGATACGGACCCAAGTCAAAGAATACCGTATTCACCCGAGTCTTTGGCCTCCGAATATCGATATTCAACTAGTGGTCAGGAGACTCAGCTCAACAGGACAACACCAAAAGCGAGGGGCACTTCTCCATCAGGAGGACATAATCCCCCAATGTATGGAATAAATGAGTCTGCCGGCCCAGGTTCATACTTTTCAGCTTCCTTTTCTCTCGAAAAGGAGCAATCTGGCTGTAAGTATTTTGTGAGATTGAGTTGCACATATAGCTACAAGGAAGATACTAAACTATGGCCTGCTAGCTCGAAATATGTCTAACAACCGTGGAATTCCACGAAGCAGCAGCCGTTACCATCCGTATCCCTCGACGTATGGTACACCGTCACCCCATGCAGATGGCACCAGGGCAGCCAGCTATGATGAACGAATGATACAAGGAGGTATTTCTCAGAGGGGGGAACCACTCCGTTCGTCCTTCAATGGTGAGAGCGAATACAGTCAAAATTCACCACCACATCAAAGCAGAGTTCAGGATGAGCACCGAGAAGCCGCCTCTCAATGGCCTCGAACGGCCTGGTTGACTACAGCGACACCTGATCTTACTTCGTCCCAACAGTCATCTTCTGGAGCACCATACCCCACTTCGTATACGCCCTACGATTCTTCAGCAAATGTATATAGAGCTCCGTCGGTTTATGCACCACCATATGAGTCAGGGGCTGCTCTTCCAATTCAATTGAGGCATGGGGGGATTGAGACGCTCAATTCCAATCAGCTCGCCAATGCCATCCATTGCCCACATTGTACACAGAAGTTCCCCACTACTGAGCAATTCACGTAAGCACAGCCCCACTTGGTTGACGTATAGACAGCGAACAAAAGGCGCTGATTGTTATTTGTGTTGTAGGAAGCACCAACAAAAGCACCAAAAGATGTATCGTTGCAGATTCGATAATTGCTCGCGCACCGAAGGATTCGCAACCCCAAACGATCGAGAACGACATGAGAAATCGGTGCACAAGATTCCTGGTTTCTACTGGAGATGTCTGGATCCCAACTGCTCGAGCTTTCGAAAGGAGTTTGCAAGACGCGATAACCTTAAGGATCATCTCAAGCGTATGCATACCATGCCACCTGGAGTTGATGAGGCAGAGGCCAATGCTTGGAGGAGTCAGATGGCAGACAATGGAAAATATGAGAAGCCTGACACCCAAATGTCAGGGCAATAGTTCAGAGGTTGGAAGCGTCAAGGATTACTGGGTTTACGGACTATTTTATACGGATTTTTTTTCTTTCTTTTCTTATTTCCTTTGTTATTTTTTCGTGGGTTGATTGGGACCTTTTTTCTTTGTTTTCATTTTTTTTCTTTCCTTTTCTACGGGTGGGTTGGAGTTTGTACAGCGTGGTTCGAATTTATTTTTTATTTTTTTTTATTTTTGGCTCGTTTTGGTTTGGTTTGGTTTGGTTATTAAGATAGGAAAGACGGGATTCTGGAGTTAAATATTTTGACCTTTTTGGTTTAGTACAGGTTTTTTATTTTTATCTTTACAGGGTTTTAGCGCAAGACACAGATCAGACGGAAATCGGTTAGCTTTGAGAGGGGTTAGTTACTGTTTAAGGGTTCCATGCCAACGTCGGGTGTAAAGGTTTCGTTTACTTTGATCTACCGATCAGCTATCATGTTTTTTTTTTACAGGGTACTGAGTAAGAGTACTTCGAGTGCTAGAGCTAGAGCCTTTTATTGTATTTCCTTCTCGTTATCTTATCACAAATAATTGCATTGCAAGCCAGCTGTTGCATGGCCATGGGGGGGGTTCTATGTATGTAGCTACAGTAGCTAGACTTGCTACATAGACGGTTACATGGTATCTCACTTCTTCACACACTCTCTTGTCTCCTTCACCCTCACTCACTCACTCTCCCCCAATGGTGTTGTATTGTTGGGATTAGTGATGAAGCAAAACAGCAAGTGGGCGCGCGCGCGCGCGGTTGCTGTCCTCTGTCCTTTTGAGAATGAGTGAGTGAGTGAGCGTAACCCACCTCACCTTGCGGATTACGGGCATGATTGGAAGGATGACGGCTTCCGTCCGGTACCATCCCATCCTGCTCCACCGCTTGGCGAAAAACAACCCATTGACCATTGACCATTGACCATTGATCCATTGATCCACCAGAGAGCGTTGGGGGAGGGAGAGCATCAATTGACTGACACCTGCGCAGCTGTTGCTTGTTGCTGTCTGTCTGTTGGGAGCTGGATGTAGGTAGGGTAGGTAGGTGAGGTGCATGTGTTTACTCGTGCTTCTTATTACATCCATGGCGTAATCCCGCACGCGCGCGAGCGCACCGTACCCCCAGCCACGGCTCGTCGAAACATGGTACTCTACTCTTGAGCAGCAGCTATGATAGGAGTGGTAGGTGGAAGGAGAGGGAAAAAAGAAAGAAAAAACTGTCGGACGGCAGGTGGGATGGTGGGATGGAAAGGATGGAAAGGAGTGAGGGGAGGGAAAAGGATACATACCTGCTCTAGGGAAACATGTGCATTTCCCATCATCCGTCCCATCGATCAGATTGAGGTTAGGATAGGACAAGATAGGGTAGAGTACGGTACATGGTAAACGGAAAGAGAGATAATCACAGACGCACTGACCACTTTTGGGTTTTGAGATCCAGAATCTGGTGGGACTGTCCTGTCTGGTTGTTGTGTGTGGAATTGGAATTGAATACTCAAGGTAGAGTACCCGTGCAGCGCATTGCATAGCAGCAACAGCAACAGGAGAAGGGTGGAAGCTCATCGAGTGTGGATGGATTCTGGGATAGGAAGGTCCATGTGATTGGGTCGAGCTCTCTCTCTCTCTCTCTCTTTTCTCTTTCTCTGTCTGTCACTCGCGCAGCTGTCCAACAGTCTCTGGGGTTGCTTGCTTTGGGGGGGGGGGGGGGGGGGGGAATCGAAACGAACACGCTTCGAGTGAGGTTGGGTGCAGGCAGCGTCGGCTCGGCGAACCGTCTTTGTGGGGGGGATCGAGTGTTTGTTGGGTGCGAAGGCTTCGGCGGAGGATGTATGTAGAGAAGAGCAGGCAGAGCAATTGCAAGCAGAGGGAGGTACATGCTGTCTGTTGAGTTGACTGACAACTCAACGCATGCCACTTTGGAGAAAGAGTGAGTGCTGCCGTCGTCTGCACGGGGTTTGTTCTTTTTCTCTTACTGACTGACGGATTTACTCACTTTCTTGCTCGTAGTCACTCACTTTTAGACAGTCATCGTCATCACTGCGCATGCTAGTAGAATTGAAGGTGACAGCTGTGTAGTAATGTATGTAGTATTTAGGTACTCTACACGTACTCATGTAGAAGGTATAAGAAACATCGCAGAAAAGCTTAATCGCAAACCCACCAAGCAGAACCAGCTAGCTCCAAAGCCTTGCTCACTCACCCACTCACTCAGTCATCCAGATAGACATAGAAGTTACAATTGCCATACATCATAAAAGAAATTTAAAACGCCTTATCGTCCGTCCGTCCGTACGTGTACGTACATCTGTCACAATTGGGCAAAACCGATTAAGCCTTTCCCGCTCTCCCGCGGCCCGAACGGACGGACAGGACAGCTACCTACCGTACTCTAGTTTTTGTCTATGGGTACCTTTTTTATTTTATTTTTTGAGCTTCTAGAAGGGTTGGTGTGTGTGGATGGAGTTTCTGGAAATGTTTTTGGAGGGTGCGCCGTTATTTATTTTTTACTTTTTTACTCATTGGGGAACTGAGTTGAGGGAGGTGAGGGAGGGTGGGCTTCGGTATCGTAATTGTGGTTGTGGGTGGTGGGAAGCCCTGTGTGCCAGTTGCTCGTGCTCATGCATCGTGAGAATGAGAGAGAAAGAACTTGAGAGAGGTCGATAGACCAGAGCAGGCCCAGAGCAGAGAAAGAGTATCGTGATTACGTAGTTCGTTGCTGCGATACGTAGATCCCCTCCTCCGTACGTCCTTCATTCCAATGCTCATGATAAACACTCGTACTTGACGATTCGCATACTTTACTTTTACTTTACGTAGGTCTTACTGTACTACAGAAAGAGGGTTAATGATGTATTATACGAACCCCGAGTGAGCTAGTGGATGATGATGATCCAGGTATCGATATCAGATGGAAACAACTCACTCTCTCCTCCCCCCTCCTCTCCTCCGCTTGGCCGAAATACTCAGAGCTAGAGTCGTAAAAAAAAATAATCTTGTATTCCTTGATTACTAGGGCAAAAAAAAAAACCCATGATCTCCATTCTCCCCCCGGGGAGCGATCTGTTACCCTAACCCGACCACTCCTCCCGTGGGGGCTAGCGTGCTCTTTTTGCCTTCCGGTTCCGCAGTCAAGGTCCCGGGTTTTCCTCTCTCCATATGTATGTCCATGTTGGTTATTGGTGTGTGCACATGTCTGCTGCGTCTGTCCACCGTTCTCCTTCCGCTGCTCTCTCTGCCCGTACATAGACGGCCTGCCCGTGTTCACGAGACCTCTCAGCAGCCGCTCCACCCCCGCCCGGGTCCCTGCTTTATGTGTGCTTTTTTTGCTTTTGGGAATTTTTGAGTTCCCGCGCGAGGTGTTTCGGTTGATGACAATTAAACATATGCGGGTATGTAGACATGAACCCTAACCCATCCATGGATCCGCTCGGTGGTGGTGGGAGGTGTTTCGGCGTTATGCGATCAATGCCGGTCCTAGCTATCTATCTAGCTAGGTAGGTAGCTTTTTCCCCTTCCTTGTCAACAACAGAGAGGTATGGTATAGAGAGACAGGGACAGGGACAGGGATAGGGATAATGGAAAGAATGCTGCGATTGATCATATCTGCCTCTCCCCCGGCGCCCCCCCAGTCGAGGATCAAGATATTCCCCGAAAGGGCCGGGTCCATGCGGTGCAGCTTGTAGACGACCCCTCTGTCCTCTAATTCTCAGCCTCGATGCACGATTGCGAGAGGAGGAAAACAAGGGAAGGGAAAGGAAGAGAAATAAGATAATTGATATCCTTGCCGATAGTGTTGCTGACTGCGCATGCTTTGAGCCTCCTCCTCCTCCTCCTCCTCCCATGGGTTCATGTGTTTTATCAGTGCAGTCTTGTTTCTTCCGATTGGAAGTGCGTAAGAGCGTGAGAGGAGGGGTAGTGGGAGGGAACGAAGCGGCGGGTGAGGGGTCATGACGCAGCAAGCGAGTGCTGGTGCTGCACACTGCGCAAAGCATCATATCAAGATATATAGCTCTACTCTAGATAGCTAGATAGCTTCAGCAATGTACCACTACATTTACCACTACCCATAGTAGTCAATAAACAGAGAGCGCCAACTACAGAGGCTCTCCAGCGCCGCAGCGCATTAGCGAACTGATGAAGTCGCATCTAGAATTGAGGCTGTTAATGAGGCTGAATGCACTCCTCCCCCTGGTCACTCTAAATTACCGAGGCGGCGGGTGTCTTTCCTTACGGAAGAGCCCATCATATCATCATCGAGGCGCAGTACATTTCTGAGTATATGTACTTGCGATAGAGGACTAGTGCGGCTTTTTTTTATGCTTAGGTTTGATGATCTTCATGCTGGGCCCCCGGGGGTGGGGGGGGGGGGGATTGATTGAGCCTCATGACTATATTTCTTTGCCGCACTTGGCCCCTTGGGGCGGGCGGTTGTGGTTTCTGTCGGGATGGTTTTTATGTCGGGGTGCTGCGATGCTGCTGCTGGTGGTGAATTCGGGGTGCTGCGATAGTAATGGTCTAGATGCTGGGATGAATGATGCTGATGATCAAGAACCCTTGGTTTCCGCGGGTAGGAATAATAATAAAAACTTGTACATGAATATAATGCAATTTACTCAGTGAAGGGCCGACAAAAGTAGAGTACTACGTACGACATGATGTACAATCCGGACAGTACATACATGATCACTCGTCTCTAGCTCTCCACAAACCCTGATCGCTGAAATCACGAAACGAAAGAAGCCTGTACATGAGGAATTCGAAGAATTCTACATGTGCCGTTGATTTTTTTTTTGGCTTTCTTTTGCTTTTTCGACATATTTTCTAGATTGATCTATTTTCTGACTTTTCGCTCTCGCTTTTTTCGTTGTCCAGCCCCCCCCAAGCTAGCTGGAAGATCTCGACCCATTCTTCACTCATAAAACCACAATTAAATATAAAGTGCAGAATAAGAAGAACAATTGACAATTGGAATGCGGTCTACCCTCCCCTCCCCCTCTACACTCTCGGCCGAGGTTGGTCCGTGTTTCATCATCAATCATGAATGTCACCGGTGCATCTTCCTCCATGCCAGTCGGTACCTACATTACATGCTTACATCCTACATGTAGCTTGTACTATAGCGTGTACTCCCCCCGGTATATACCTCTGTAATCGCAGCGCAGAAATATAGACGGCAACCGCACCGTACCGCACTGCACCGCGTCTAGAATATATGCGTCTACCGTCAGCACTAGCGCTCGTTTCAAATAAATAAGTGGAATAAGATATGGCGCGAGAAGGCATAGGGGGTGGGTGTGTCAACTTCAGAGGAACTTTTTTTGTATGGGAATTAGAGAAAATCCCACCGTCAGGCTAGGCGCTAGTACCATTATGGGGGTAGATCTCCTAATTCCTATAGATTGATTGGCTGCAAACGCCGAAGTTTACACACCTACCCACCATAGCTTCTCGAGCCATACGCCAGGAAAAAAAACGAAAAATACGGAAAAAAAGCGTACGGACGTCTCACCCGCAGCTAGCTGGCTGACTGGCTGGCAGCACTCTCGTATTATATAGCAAGCAAGCAATCAAGGGAAGGAAGCAAGAAGACGTATGTACGTACCTGTCAACTGCACTCCAAACTTCAACTAACTAGGAAGCGTAGAGCAGAGCAAAGCAATCTACTCTACCTATCTGTCTGTCCATGGCCAGCGCTGTACTGTGGAGTAGAGTACAGTGCTGCATAACGTTAGCCCTACTGACATACACAGTATATATCGTTCGATGATCGCCATATTGAATGATACGGTATAATAATGTAGGTGACACAAGTTATATAAGTCCGATTACACGGTTTAGGGTTTCCCCTAGCTATCTACGTCAGTGCAGTGCAGTGCAGCGCAGAGTGCTTAGCAAGGGGTGGACTGATTGACCTGAAGCGTATCCATGCCCCCGGGTCTGTACGTACGTCTACTAAGTTACTCTAGTTAATAATAAACTTAGAGTGTGTGCTGTGCGTGGGTCGCGCGCTCAGGCCTACCCGATCTATCAGCCAGACAAATAGAGAGGTGATAAGCACTGGCAGCGTACTCGAATGTGTGCGAGTACATCCCTTCCGAGTGCGGTAGGTACGTACTGAACGAGCACAAGAGTAGATACCAGTACCTAGAGTAGATAGAGTAGAGTGCTGTCACGCTGTGTACAGGAATGGGAATTGATTACTCGTGTAGTTGCTTTGTAACGCGGCCATGCCCAACGTAGTAATTATTAGCATTGTGGCCCAAAGTTCACCGAGTGATGTTGCACGGTCTACACGGTCTAGCCTCTACTCTCCCCACGAGTCATGGAACGAGCAAGAAGAGTGTGGAGTTGTGGAGCAGTTACTCTACGCAGAGAGTGCCACAGTCTACAATTAAAGGGCTAGACTCCTGTAGAGTAAAGTGCCTACGCGACTAATGCAGACAGTCGCGATACATAAACTTAACTAGTCAAGGTAAAATAGACTTCATTTAATTCCTATAGCGCTAATATTTCATGCTAACTACAAAATGCGTACATGTATGTACCAAAGGAAAAAAACCCTCAACACTAGAAAGCAATTGTGCGATATCCAGGTTAGATTGCCATTTCCGTGTGATGGTGAAGAAAAAAGTGTACTTGTAGAATTGCGAAGAGGGGGAGAGGGAAAAAAAATGATGATCGCCCCTAAAACTCTTCTCTTCATTTCAATCGCTCCTGCTCTCCGGGTGTTTTCAGTGAATCTGAAGCTCTTCTCCCGGCAACTTGATCCTCGATCCTCGTGATCTCCCCCATAATATCCCCCACTGATTTATCTATTTGCGTCGCTAGGGCCTCTGCTTCGGTCAATCTGTATCTCAACTCCTCCACCGGGCAGGCCACGACCTCCTCGTGCAAAACAAGGGCCTTCACATCCACCATATCTGCCCTCGACTGGCGCAGACTCTGGTAATTTTCATCCAGCATCTCTCTCTCATTCCACTTGAGATCCTCTGCTTTCATTTTCACTATCAACTCCGATAGCGTGTTGTCGAGGCTGTGCTCGGCTTGAACAAGTTTGACGAAAACAGGCACCCCAGCTCGTGGAGTAGAGCGCACCTCAACCTTTTCTTCGGCAATACCTCGTCAACAGTATCTCGCAGTGTCTTGCAGAGGCCGTCCATCACCTTTGTGGCCATTCCCTCATCCGTCTTCTCGAATTCTCTCCTCTTCACCAATATTGGCCAGTACTTCTTCCAGAACGACCGAATCATTGACGCAGCTATGATCTCTGCCTTTGTGAGCGCCGCTTGGTCACCATCATCAGTGTTCCCGCTCTCCACCCTTTCGTGCTTGAACGCCTTTGCCTGAGGATGTTTCTGCTCGCTGGAACGCTTATTGAACGACGAAAGGGATTGGAATTGGCCCCTTTTTACCTTCCAAGTAGTCCGCATAATTCGGAATTTGCTATAAGGCTGTCGCAAACTTGATTTCTGGTACAGGGCCAAAATTTCAATGCCGCTGTACGAACTACTGAACGCGTCCGCAAAGATGACCATGAACTTGTTGATGTCAAGCTCAGATTCCTGCGCATTGATGGTCTTTTTATGGCACCAAAAGTTCCATGCTTGTATAATGCCCGTTAGGAACTCGTTCTCTGGACCCGGCCTGATCTTGTTTCCAGCATACTGTTGCATATTGCACAAACATATTGCAAGCATATCCAGCACGCGTCTAATCAAGATATCTGGGCGTTTATTCCATGTCATCCGGAGCGTTGCGTATCTGCACGATTGGATCTTTTGAAGTGATCCAAGTACGTACCTGGCAATAGTCGCTAGAATGGTTTTCGCGGCTTCTGTGATCTCTCTGCACTCGTTAAGGGGCAGGGCATCAAATGCTACTAGACATGGGAAGAAATATTTGAGATGGATCTTACGCCAATTATCTTTGATAAGAAACTCGTCGGATGATGATATAACAATCTAAGAGAGTAATCAGTCTTAGTATTCACCATCTACAAGCAGTAAGGGTGACTAAAAGCCTTTTAGCTGGGTTTAGGAGGAGGGGGAACACAAATAAGGAATGCACAGCACTGCTCCCAGAAACCTATCACGCCATGGAAATATTGTACCTCCGGAGAATCCAGGCCTAACTGCATAGGATGTATATGCCACATCAACTCAATCGCAAGCGCCAAATCTCCTCCCCTCAAGGCACTGCGAAGGCGTAGGATATCCCAGAAATAACCAAACGGCTTCGTTTTTACCGGGTTCAAACGACCCCAATCGATTCGGCTGATAATATTTCGCCCAAAGATTTCACCGATATCTGAGAATAACCAGTCAGCATTTTAATTCCATCAGAATATCATGGACTGCGCTTACTTAAAGCATCGGCCAGGTCCACCTGTTGTAAAAGGAGCGAAAACGACATATCATTTACTTTCCAGCGGGTAATGCGGTGGTAGAGTAACTCCTCAAGTGCGTTACGCACACCCCTCTCGGAGTCCCGCGGATTTGAATATAGAGACCCTATATTAATTAAGGGGTGTGTTATGAATTCCGACACAAAAGTGGTTGTAATGAGCAACTGCTCAAGCCAAGTACGAACTGTTCCTCGCGTCAACAAAATCGCTCATAAACAGGGTTATCATAAGACCAACCTGTCCCTCTATACCTAATTGCATAAGCTACATCTCCAAATAGTCTTTGCTGGAATGGAAACGTCAGACATAGGGCCATCTCCAGCGACGAGTTTAACAACTAAGTAACGATATAGTTAGTAAATATACCATTAGAAAACCAGTGGATAGAGGGACATGCTTCGAGTCTTGACAGGGAAATATCCCGGGACAGTAATGAATGGGTACTATGGCAGCTGTTCTCCGCTTGGAACGCACAGCTGCCCCAGAGGATAAACTCCTCGCACAATGACTCCTTTTTCAGAACTTCAATCGCATTATCCAGCAGTGAATAGACACTCCTGGCCATGTCGTCGGAAAGCTGTCTATTGAGCGCTTCAAAAACTGAATCATGGGACATCATGATAGCCTGCTCGTTTGGTAAAAGTGGGCTTTGTGGCAGCACCCATGCACGCCTGGAGGGGTCTTCTTTTATGTAGGAGACACTGTAGAACCTTACTACCGCAGGTGGGAAACGGCCATCCTTATTGGCCTTCTTCAAGACCTCGGCACACCTTGCGAAGGATTGGAATGGGAACTCCCTGGGGTCACATTGGACTCCGAAATAGTCACCATTGGCGACAATCTAGAATCGAATGGTGAGCGGTGGTCATAATATTCTAAGGAAAAGGCAGTAAAGGATTTTATCTTACCAGCAAATCGGCGGTCAATTGTAAATCTTCGCCAATGCCATTCCACTTGGTTTCGTCTGCGGAAACTCTCCGCTCCTGAAATTGACTCATGACGAATCTCTCCAACACTCTCCAATTGTTCTTCGTCTGTTCTCTGGCAAAGGACTTTTGGGTACTCAGTATGGAAGGGCGATTCTTAGTTATATCTGAACCTTTGCATCTCAGGAAGTCGGCAACTGAATGTTGTAGGCGTCTAGTCGGCCCAGCCGAAAATCTCATCCAATAGGTCAATATCGAGATTATTGCCCAAAACCCTAAACTCGATGATCTGAATAGCTTGAGCATAATCCCCCAAGCTCAGGCATGTACTAATGGCCTTCATGAATTGCTTTGTCGCTATATAGTGCTGTATTAGTTCACGGGTCATCTCATACTGGATTAAAAAGGCCTCCTTCTCGGAGTCTGAACCCAGTAGTGTTATTGCCATAAGTTTCAAGTCTTTGTCAGCATCCTTTTGGCTTCTAAATAACACGTTAACGAGTCTGGAAAGCCTGCGAAAGTTCACAGGCTTCATTTTATGACCATGATCAATGAGGTATTGCAGTAGGTCGACGAAATATTGCCCTTCACTATATGCTGCCGCTGCCATTTCGAAGTTACCACAAAGATGGTATTGTTCTGCTGCTTCCTTAAAAAGAGACGCCCTACAATAAAAGGAAGCAGCACGACCGTGATCAGTACTGCTCCAAACCTCAGCTGCTGATTTCCAGTCGTGAATGGTGGCGAAACATTTGGATGCTTGTTTTGGATGGTTTGATTCACGGAAAAGCGTGCCAGCCTGTTTGAATAATAGCACAGACTCGGCAGATTCTCTGTAACAAATGTCAATTGCTTTCTGCTCCAAGATGTGTGCTTTAGAGAGACCCTGTCCTATTGAGTCTCCAGCACTCTGAAAACATTTCAAGGCCTGCAATCCACAAAATTAGTATAAGGAACATTTTGGGGGTAGGGAGGTTAAACGGATATAATGAATATACGAACAGGATGCCAAAGCCTTTTCTCCAAGAATTCAAGGCCCTTCCGGTACCAGTCAGCCGGCGTATTGCTTTTGCCTTGTCTCATTTCCCTCATCATATCCGCGGCCTGTCGCGACGCACACAAAAAAATTTAATCAGCAAGCTCAAACTCGGTTGATTCCTAGAAGCACATCTGGCCCCACTTACATTTTTATCACCCCTGAGAACAATATCCACTAGCCCACCGTCAGGGCCTTTACTCCAGAGCCTCGCCATCACCGTTATATTTTCATCATGTTCTTCAATTAGCCAGAGCCTGGCTCGTGGTCTAGTAATAGCGACATACAGCCCTCTCAATTCCGCCGAGAGGACAGCATGCTTTCTTCTGTCAAACCCTAAGAGTCCTGTCCCTTGTTTGGTTTTTAAATCCTCCTCCATGGAGACCAAAGCTCTGAAGCTTGGACCCGCTGGGCTTCCAGAGAAGTAGTTGAAAAGGAGAACGTCATCAAACTCCATCCCCTTGCTCTCTACAATTGTGAGGATAAGATTAATCGTACCAATCTCGTCCCGCAGAGTTTTTCTTGCTTCATCATCACGGACCAGAATGACCTGCTCTGCACCGAACTCCGCGATATTTTCCACCACATCGACTGCGCCAAATAGTTTCTTGGAAAACATATCCGACGAAAATCCAACTACAAAAGGTTAATATTAGCTTTTTTTAGAAATCACTGAGACTACCGGGGCTGGTCCATCTTCTCTTTGAAGGTGTACTTACTGAATAGCTTTGGTTTCGGACCCAAGTAGTTGCCGACTTCTGGCTGCAGTTTATCTATCACATCAGGGAACACTACAAAAAACCGTGTCAGCTGGACTCACACAAAATTTCTAGGGCATTCGAGTTACCTTTCCAGAGAATATCAACCACACTACTTGCCAAAGCTAAAATCCCTTGGTGGCTCCTATAATTCTTTGCCAACAAGAACAACCTCGGTTTCTCCAAACTCTCTTCAGCTGTTTTTGAAGACCCATGCCCTCCTTTAATGACCATTGACCCAAAAAGTTGAAAGAATAGTGCCTTAACGTCTTGGAACCGGAAAGTAGAATCGCGACTTATACACTGCGCGGTGTCACCAGCCAGATGTACCCCTCTTGGGTTTCCTACCACCCGCAACAAAATTTCGACCTCCCCAACACGGAGATCTTGGACTTCATCCACATAGCATTCCCCAATAACGGTTTGCAGCCGTTCCAAAAGCTCACGATCCTTATTCAGACCCATACGTATATCTTTACATCTATCCAAATCATCCCACTCCGCTAGGCCTCGCCGGCGGTTCTCATATAACTCGTACATTTTCCAAACACTCTCGCGCTCTTTACTACCTTCCAAAAAAGTGGGCGCTAGTCGAGAGGAAAGTTTCAGATAGCTTTGCTTTGTTAACGGGAGAAAGTCAGAAGCGTAGTTTCCGCCCTTAATTACCGCCATCATTTCGGCGAATACCAGTTCGACTGAGATTCCCTTCCTTAAGTTTAACGGGAGCGATGGCCAATAGGCTCGCTTAAACTTTGAAAAGTCAACTCTGCGGTGCTCCCAGTTTAACTGTATTTCTGCCGAATTGACTGGTGCAAAGTCGGTGCGATCAGAAATCCTGTAAAATAGATTAGCCATAGCTATACTTAGATGTCGATTCAAAATGCGTACTTGAGCGTATTTTCTAATAGTCCACAAAATTGATCAAAAGTGCATATGAGGGGCCAACTATCTTTTTCAATGGTAAAAAGATTTCTATCTGCATCGTCATGATGATGGTCTGTGCTTTCCTGAATCACGTGGGTGCCTGTGTCATTTTGCTCAACTTCCAGTAGTGGGTTATCCAATCTCCCGAGCTGAGAGTCGATTAGTCGTCTTATATACCTTGCAATCTTTCCTGCAAGTATCGGACTTCTGGTAAGGAATATCTAAACAAAACTCCGCCGCCCAAACATTGGGTGAGGCAATCACGTGTTAGTATTACCTCATTATGGACCGAGTGATGGTTGATGATCCTACCTGTCTCGGCTCTAACCCAGCGCCCGTCCGTGTAAGATAGCCGGCCAGCAACTTGAAAACCAAACAAGTCGTCTTTCTAGTTCCGCTGCGTCCCAAAATCAACACAGAGCTTTTCCACCACCTGACTATCTCCGTCTCTTCCTCGCTCACGTCGAATGCAAATTCCGGCAGCGCTCCGCATTTTTTAGATGCCCGAATACTCTCAAACATTTGCTCGTTTAGTGTATAAAACTTACCGGTAGTAAGAGCTTCGTGTAAACTCAGAGCTTCCTCCCTTGATAGTTTATTCGCGCCCGAGTCGGTTACTGTAGCTCCAAATTGCTCCCGTTTTAGGGTATCCTCGCTCAGCACGAACCTTGCGGGTAAGTGACGTAAAGTTTTCCCCTTTCCCGTCTCTTGTTGCCTCAACTTACATCCTCGAATGTAGTTATTGCTGTATCCTTTATGCGCCTTGAGAACGGTGGGAATACTCTCCAAAATCTCTTTATGATCGCCTATCCTCCATATCTTGATTATCTGTAGCCAGCCGCCCTCCAGCTCGTCCCAGGCGCCCTCGACGCCCCACAGAACTCTATAGTTCTTACCGTAGACAGCTTTATATAATTTCAAAACTGCACGCTCACCGCCATTACCTTTCCATTCTTCCAAGATCCATTCGGGCTCTGTATCTTCGTTCTTTTCGCCTTCCTTCCTTGCCCCATGGTCGCTAGGGGGAACATAAGTTACAGTACCAGAACCAGCGCTTGTTCCCCCGAGTAATTGCGGCCTTGTCAAACTACGGCGATTCCAATATCCAGTTGCTAGCTCCTCCAGTATCTTCTTGACCATTTGGAATGTCCCATCGTGCTGCGTCCCCAATAGATCCTTCATTGCTTGTGTTGAAAGTATCACTCGCCATGGCCCCGCTAGTTGTGGAAACATGGAAGAGGGATCATAGGTTCTAGATTCGGAGTTTTCATCTTCGGCGTGGAGGATGTTCTATAGCTCTTGACCTCCTGATAATTCCGGTGGTGGGGGTGATTTTGCTTCATCGGCTTTTTCGGCCTGGCTTAGTTCTTCGGGTTTTTTGACTTTTTCTTTTCCCTTGCTTTTACTGCTTTTGCTCTTTCCGTCCTTGAGTTTTTCTTTGTCTGCCAAACTCCCGCCTATATGATAGACTATCTCCGGGGCGACAGTACTACGTTCTACGTTGCTCCTTTCCGGAAGCCTAATTCCCGGCTCCACATCATAGAAACCTTTTCCTCTTACCACATCCCCGGCGCACACTTTACAACACGAAGCACACGGAAAACTCCCAAAGATCTTTTCCAGTGTCTGGAAAGTTATCAGTGTTTTCAGCGTCTTCAACGCTTCCTGTACATCCGGAACTGACTGCGGCGATTTTACATTATTGCCCAACAGCCTCCGAAGCGTGGTAAAGGAGTGTTCATCTAGCTGCGGTCTTGGTATCTCGATAACCTGACCTTGCGGCGGTAACCGTGTCGATAGCTCTTCAGCTAGTTCCTCCACTGCTAGGGCGGAGAAGATGTTTTGGCTTCTTAGATCGGCTGCCGTTTTTGGTTTTAGCGCACGCATGTTTTCTAGATTTGGGAGTTGTTGTGCAGCTTTCATCTGCTTTTTTAGAGCCTTCTTTGGATCTCCAGTTATGCGTGTGGGGCGTAGATTATGTGCCTCCAGCTGCTTCTCAAAGTCCTCTAGCACCGATTTGAGGATTACAATCTCTACCCAGTCTGATAGAGCGCCCTCGACACTCGTACCGTGGGATACCAAACACGATCCCACTAGTAGAGTGACACGGCACGTATAGAACTCTAGCAGTCGAGAATTGAAAACCTTTGCCACGGTACTCTTCGATGCCATCAGCTTCTTCAGCACGTCTCCGCCTGCCTTTGAGGAGATGAGGCGCTCGAGTAACCCGACGCTGGGCGTCGCGTCAGGAATATATAACAGAAATTCTAGAACTGAACTGAGTGGCTTCAGAGATGCTTTTGAATTCAAAGCTTGTGGGATGTAGAGTTCCAGCACTGCCGTAATAAGATCCAAGAATTCTATACTACAGAAAAAATGACTTTCATCCACAGAGGAGGAGGCTGACTTAAAGAGGGGATGGATGAGGTTTGTGATAAATGTTTCTGGAATTGGAAGTACCGTTTGAGCACCTGCTGTGAACCCTGACCCTTTCGATTTTGGCTGGGTACTGCTGGAGGAGGAAGCTTGAGCGCTGCTCGAAAGCGCATGAGGGGTAATAGCTTGGATGAAGGTTGTGAGACGGTTGGTGTAGTATTCGAAGCGACTGAAGTATATTTCTCTGTGGGAGGTGAGAAAAAGTGCGAGATCTGAGGTGTGGGTTGTGAGATAGCTGTATAGGGCAATGTTGACAGAGTATGTGAGAGGAGTTTGTGAGAGGATTGTTGCGGTGAGGAAAGAATCTATTGCGGCTAGATTTGTGGACATGGCGAATTTTCGATGTGTCGTTATCGGAGGCTATTTTTGTTTCGCTGTTTTTTGTTTGTTTGCTATTGTCTGAGTCAGATGAACGGTGGTGGTTCAGGATGACAAGCGGAGGGGAAGATTGACTGGACAAGCAATCGGGAGGAAGAGCAATGAGATGACGTCTGGTTGAAATAAGGGGGCTTTGAAGTAAGAAAAAAGATAATTGTCAGGGTTCGTTAGCTACGATACGCAAAGTGGTTTTTGTCGAGCAATGATAATGATGAATGGAGAGGGTCTTGACTACATGTATTTAAATAGACGAGGCTAGAATTCTCAGGTTTGGGGGAGAACCTGGGAGAAAGAGCACAGGCAGACCTACAGTGCCCAGACCCAGATCTATAACCCTAGCAGAAGTGGGCCAAGAAACCGAGATCCATAGAAAGCTTGCGCAAATGTGTGTAATGAGATCTAGATCTAATCTCCCTAGTTATTATACAGTAAACTTACTCCCGCGCCCAGCATTACGGGCCGAGGACGATTTAGATGATGGGGTATATGCCGCCGGAGCTAATTTGAGATATATTTCAGTGAGTTAGTACTTGTTGGTGGGCATCCTGAAGTAGATGATGGGTCAAACGTCCCGCCAGTTGGAGTTTCATGAAATATCACTCGCATCTTCGCCGTGGCATTAGGCCTAATGCAGAAGGCGAAAACCACCCACTCAAAGTGAATTCCTCAGGAAGAAGTGTCTAGGAGGGGGAAGAGTCTATGGGTGGGAAGAGGAGAACATCCGAGAAGAGTGATTGAGTTATACATTTTCAATTCTCGCCAGGTAAGCGAGTAGTCCTTAATGACAGCTATTCGATCTCCACATATCAGGTCACGTTAATTTGAACCATACGGACACGCTGGGCAAAGCGTGATTGCAAACCTCGCAAAGTGGGTAGAAGAGTTGAAGTTATTGTTTTGCAGTCATTGCTATCTGTTATTACTAAAATGTCAAGACAACGAGTTTGGTTGTCTTGATGATATGTGTTTATCACGATTTTGTTAGTTATAAAAGGAGCTTGTTCCTTCTTCTCTTGTTACTTCTTTAATTCAATCATATAATTCGATTCTCTTTCCGTCTTTTATAAATTCGCGGCCTGATAAACAGTTATCCGTGTCTCCACACACAAAAAACATTATCTTCCCCTTCAAAACCTTTCTTAAGATCCAACAATCGACTATTTGTACTCAATACATACCGTACACTTGAGATGTGAAAACCCTCATTTCCAGTTACCGGCCAAAATTCACAAACATTCATCACGTATTTTCTTTCTATAACCGAGGAGAACAAAACCTCCAGCCAGTATCACCCCACCCACAATAACTAAATCCCGGAGCGAAGATGACAGAGACCTTTCTGGAAACAAAGATTCTATTACCCTGTTTTTCTGTATGTAATCCTCTGTTTCCATCTCCAAAATACTTGACGAATTTTTCAATTCCATACTTTACTTACTTTTCCCTGGAAAAAAACACACCACCCTTCATGTTAGCCAACTGGACTTAATGTCGATCACTTGTTGAGGCTACCTCTAAATCCTCTCTGTTATGGTTATCTATTCACATCTACAAGGTTTTGCATCAGGATCGGTCACTTGGCTGCCAAGATATTGTCTTTAGATATTCCTAGTAAATTGTTGATGATCTTTACTTTTCCTGGCCAGCAAACCCTTGCCCAATTTGATTCATGGAGTCCATCCTTTTGGCAGAAGTGGTTTCGGGGGTCTCCCTGACATTCTACAGCCAAACACGGTGTTTCTGTTATGGCCTGTGAAGTCGAAAAACTGCTAGTTGGGGGGTTTTAACGCCGAAACCTAGCTAACTACATGTAGGCTTGCGGCAACCGTCAGTAAATTGTATATTGATAGTTTTCGATATATGTGCATAAACCCTGTGTGGTGCGTATTCAGGAGGTTTCTACGAGTACAACATACGGGCTCTATGATTACGGTCTACTTCTCGTCTCCTGACATCATGGAGAGGACATTCCAGTTTTCGTTTAGCTTGTTATGCTGCATGTTTCAGCTTTAACATCTGCCACATGCAACAACATTAACGCCCGCCTGTCTGTGTAGCGCCAGGCCAGTGCGCTACGGGAAACCGTCCATGCTGTTTCTCTGCAGGTAGCGCTTTGTCTCTACGGGTAGCGCTTTGATTGAGATCGATCTTTCACAGTGTGTTTGTATCCGATCAACGTTAACTTGGGCTGGGTGTCTCAGTGGAACAGCCTCACCTACAGGCGGAGCTTGTGCTGAAACATATTTAATCACTTGGATCACAAAAGGTCACTCGGACCACACCTCATATCATTAATTATCAAAAACATTATTGATCCCCAAATATCCCCCCACCAGTAATAACTACATATAACCACCGATGCCATACATCATCTGCGTCTCTCCTTCAAGCCCCGGCCGGCACAAGTCTAAACCGCAATACGCCCAACCACAAACTGCGCCGCTGCACCCGCATCATCCTCATAATTCAGATGCGGTGGGAGAGGTACGGGCCACCCAAGACAGATCAAGTCCCCAAAGTGGCAGAAAGTCTTCACATTTGCGTTCAAGCTACCTGGGAACGAATCGCCGTTGTTTGGGTCACCAAAGAGCACAATGGCACCCACATTTGCATACAGCGCAGACGGTATACGCTTCGCAGCCTTATGCACAACCTGTGCTCCTTGACTATACACCCGTTAAGTTAACTAGATATTCATATTTATATACACAAAGGAAGGCGCCTACCTGAATCCCGAAAGTACAATCTTCGACCCCGGGCACTGCGTCGCCGCCTTCGCAACCGACGCCGCCATGTCGGCCGCCCCCGTGTCTGACCCACCACCTAGATACCCCCACACATCCGCCGGATAGTTATTCACGCCCTGCACCGCGACCTTTCCAGGCTTCAGTGCCGCCAGTGCGTCAAAGAAGTACGGGCCGACGTCATCACCAACATTGCCCGGCTCGGTCGTGCCACGGGCGAAGATGACGATGACGGGTGCGCAGGTCTTCTTCTCAAGGAGCTCGTTTCGCGTGGTCTTGACGGCAGCGAGAGTGCTGAAGGTATCGGCGTGCTTGGCGGCGCGGAGGGACTTGAAGGCGTCTTCGATGGCGGAGACGGGCGTGGAGCCGACGGGGGCTGGGGGGATCTCGGAGATGTCGACGCCGGCGGGAGGGTCCGTGGCGGGGGTACCGGCGCCGGTGTCGAGGCCTTGTGGGGCGGCGTGGGCGAAGGAGGAGAGGAGGAGAGAGGAGAGGAGGGCGGTGAGTGGGATGAAGACCATTGTTACTAGCAACTACTTGAGAAAAGGAAAGACAGTGGGTTATAACGAGAGACTCGAGCTGAAGAGCTGATTAGTAGATGGAGCTACAAAGATGAATCCGGTCGAAGGAATGCAATGGCGCTGAAGGACGTTGGGAGAAAAGATATCGGATTCCCACCGCCCTCTTTATAGCATTCCCCTTCCTCCCCCTTCTCTCAAGCCCAATAATCATCTCCGATATAACAAGCTTCCATCCGGAACCCGCAAGCGAGAGGGGCAAAGAAAAAAAACACATTCTCATAACCTTAATATCCCCCACCTAAACCCACCACCCAATCATTACCCCCCCCCACGCACCTCCAAACACGCCGCCCCACACCCGCAATATCACAGACTCCCCAGCCTCGCAACCTTAACCCCCGAACTATTCACAAACCTCGCACCCTCCACCTTGTCGCGCTTACGGGGGCTGCCTCATCCGCCGTTGCCATTGGGCATCGCAAAAGTCTTGGTCGCGGTGGTGGAGGTTAGCAACGGCCGATCGTACCTGCATGCGACCCCCCCTGCACTAAGACAATTTCCCGCCGCCGTCGAATCAACCCCGCCATCGCTCTCCTCCCCGCAACCACTTGACTGACAGCTTAAGCGAACACTCACGTTCGCGATGGGCCTGTGCTTGGTTCGCAGTGCCTGGAGGGGCGAAATTAGATCCGGCGGGGGACTTATCGGCTAGCTAGCTAGCTCAGTGCTACGTTATGCATAAATTAACACTCAGTCAAACCACGCGCGATATCACCAACGCACGCACGCACGCACGCACAGGGGTCTGCGGCATCTCGTTAGATGTGGAGTTATGAAACTCTAGGCACCCTTTCGCACCTCAAGGGGAGGCATCTGGTTGGTCGGTTGTGATTGGTGGATTGTGTTTGTTTCGTTTGTGGTAATTAGAGTTGTACATAGAAGAGGCTAGGTAGGTAACGTCCTATGGCCATCCACCCTGCCCCTACTGTACTGCTACATGTAATAATCGCCACCCAGCAGTTCTAATAACAACTGTCAACATCTCCCCCTCCCACTCCCTCCTCCTCCTGCCCCTAACTACATGTACCGAATCCCCTCGCCCCCGTCCGCGGAAGAAGAAGGGGTCGAGTGACATCCCATGACGCCCTCTACCAACCGTTCTCGGCTAGCGTGGACGCACTCACCTACCGCATCCGGATTAGTGTGGCTAATAATATTTGTTCCGTTAAAGTAGCCAGTTTTTTTAGTAGAAGAGTGGGGTCTAGTGTAGTCTGCCGGGGAGGCTAGCTGGATGGATAGTAGTGGTTTGTTACTATTAGTACATGTATTATTAGAAAATGTGGATGTGGTTAGGGCGTGGGCGAGTGATAGCGTGTGATTCGTGCTATAGCGGGATCCATGTTATATAGGGGGGGGGACAGGGTCTGTGTAGGCAGGGTTTCTCATGTAGGACACTTGCGTGTGTCTTATCACTCGCTGTAGATCTAGAAGGCTACTACTGCCATACCATAGGTTCACAGGTGCCCCCGGTCGGTCCATACCACCGCCGTCACAACGAGCTCTCGTTTTCCGAGAAACAATTACAAGTGGGCCGGCCAATTGGATCGCGATCAAGATGAACTGAACAAAAGTGTTTGAGATATAAAATGAAATTATATACATAAAACATGAACCACATGACCATAACATAAACATTTTCATAGCGCAAAAGACAAAAGATATTAATGATACATCAAGAGTGAAGAGCAAATAACAGATCTGGCGCACTAAAAAAAAAAAAAAAAAAAAAAAAAAAAAAAACCTTGAAATAAAAAACTAAAAACGAGAAACAAAAAAACACAAAAAAACACAAACTTCTTTTTATGCACCCGCTAAACTGATGCTACCAATAAACAAACCCATTGCTCCGGCATAATCAATAAAAAAATAAAAGAAAAAATAACTCCCAAAACGAAAAAATGACAGACAGTACAAAAAAACTCCGCAATCTCCTAATTCACAAAGTGTGAGAGGCCTTTGGCTTTTCCAGTGCAAAAAACAAACCCATTGAGATAGAAAGAAAAAGAGAAAAGGAAACCATGCGCCACCGCTCAGAAGAAGGTGAATCCCCCGCATTACAAGCTAAAAAAAGCCTAGGTCTCGCACCATGCTATTTCTTCGCCTTCCTGGAACCGGACTTCTTGGGGAGCTTGCTCTTCTTAGACGACTTCTTGATCTCGACGAAAGCCTCCTCTTCGACGACGATGTCAGAGTGTTCGGGTTCGACGACTTCGGCGACAGCGTCAATCTCGGAGGCGATCTCCTCAACGACCTCGTCGACAATCTTGTGCTCCGGGAGAGGCTCCTCGAAGTGGGTTTCGACATGCTCGTGGATGGTCTCTTCGGCGGCTTCTTCAATGATGTGCTCTTCTGCTGGGGCGGCCATGTGCTCCTCGACAATGTGCTCCTCGAAGATGTGCTCCTCAACAATGTGCTCCGCCTCCTTCTCAATGTCAACACCCCCGATGACAGACTCAACCATTGTCTCTTCTGACTCGTGGGTCATTGGGATTTCTTCCTCTTCGGCAACGACGACGTCAAGCTTGGTCTCCTCTTCGATCTCAATGGCGGCATCGACTGGTGCAATGATCTCTGCAACCTCTTCTGTCGGGATCTCCTCAACAATGGCCTCCTCAGTCAAGACATGCTCGGAGTTCAACATTTCCTCAATCATGGCCTCGGCCTCAGTGGCTTCAACTTCTATAAATGGTTAGTTTGGGTGCTAGAGAAGCTAGGATCATTATTAGACTTACCATGCACAGCAACCTCGTCTTCACAGACTTTATACTCCTCAACTTCCTCAACTTCCTCAACTTCCTCAACTTCCTCAACTTCCTCAACTTCCTCAACGACCTCAACTGCCTCGACTGCCTCGACTGCCTCGACCTCCTCGACCACCTCGACCACCTCAACTGCCTCAATTGCCCCAACAGCCCCAACAGCCTCAACAGCCTCAACAGCCTCAACAGCATCAACAACATCAACAGCATCAACAGCATCAACAGCTTCGACGGCCTCAACAGCCTCAACAACGACCTCCTCCTGGGCAACCTCAACAACCTCAACAACCTCGGGGACGACCTCTTCGGCGATAACCTCAGAGACAACCTCCTCGGCAACGATATCAACGACAGGGCACTCAACTTCAGCCTCAACAACCTCAATTGGAGCGGCTTCGACTTCGGCCAATGCCTCGAGATCAGTAGACTCGGCAACCTCAACAGTCACCCCCGCCTCCTTCAACTCTTCTTCAATCGCCTTCTCGACCACCTCCTCCATCTGGACGGGCTCCGGGACCTCCTCCTTAGCAGTGTGGATCTCCTCAGCCTCTACAGTCTCGGCAGCCTTGACCTCCTCTTCCACTACCTCCTCAACAACGCGGCTCTCTTCCAACTGGGCCAAGTGGTCTTTGAGCATCATGGGGATTGGCAATTGCATCAGGTTAAGCTCCCACCTTCGGTGAAGCACGGGAAGACAGTCGGTGTAGAGAGCAGTCCCCTTTGAGAAGACGAGCCCACTATCGAGTACTGCAAGCGGGCGGTGAAGAGTGGGCAGTGTACCCTCACGAGAAAACACGGGCAGGAGCGGAAGGATCATAACACGTCCCTGCGCGGCAGACTTGAGCTGGGATGCGAGCATGACATTCTCAAAGTATGGGCTCTGTCTTGCGTAATTGTGGGTCTCCCATGAGCTGCAGTCTGTGTCATCGGTGCTCATCGATGCAGTGATGATCTCGCGCTCCATGCGGGCGTATCTCCAAGTCTCAACGGCGAACTTGACAATGCGAGTGATTCCCGAAATAATGACGTCCATGTTCTTCTGGTCCGCGAAGGGTCTGACATAGCCTGAAATCTCCTCGATTACGCTTGTTGCAGCGACACCGGCATTCTTCTTGGCGTTGGAGGCGGTGTAACCTGCGAGGAGAGTGTAGTGACGCCAGACGGCCTCCTTGCGCGTGGACTTCTCGCGAAGCTGGTTGGACATGGATTGGAAGAAGGTGTCGGCTTTGTCGTAGCGCTTTCCAAGGGAGAAAAGGAATGGCTGGAAAATACGGTGGCAAAGGTACTTGGAGATGATGTGTTGAACATATGCCATGCGGATCAGACGGGAGGCATCGCTGTTTCCGAGCATTGAGGGAAGCCCGGAAGGAAGCTCGGCGAGCACCTTGCTGGGAGGTGAGATGGGCAAGTTGGAGAACTCCCCGGAGATGTCAATAATATCTCTGGCGAGCTTCTGGAAGGCATCAATGCTAGTTGAGTGTTAGCTAAAGTTGCTTCATCGATTATCACTCGCCGTTATCAAACAAGGTTACTTACTAGAAACAATCTCCGCGAGATCTGATTTCTGCGCCCTCTTCCTCTTCAGCGACTCCCTTGAGTGTCTCGACAAGTTTTGTGTTGTCGTTCAAAAGATTGTTCTTGACACTCTCGAGCTGCTCGATCATTTCCTTAAGCTTGGCCTTCTCACTTTCCCATTCGAGCCTTGCCCTTTCCTTCTCGGAGATGAGAACTTCTTTGTCGCCCTCAAGAGTTGCAGTCTTATCCTCGAGACTGGCAACAGCTCCTTCGAGTCCGGTCTTCTCATCCTGGAGCGCGGCCTTCTCACCGAGAAGAGTTGACTTTTCATCGAGAAGAGTTGACTTTTCGTCGAGCAGGATAGCTTTCTCTCCTTCAAGGCCAGCCTTATCGGCCTCAAGCTCGATCTTACAACCCTCAAGCATCTGCTTGTCGTCTTCGAGGTTCTTGATGATCTCGTCCAATCTGGTCTTCTCGTCCTTGAAGTCAGAGATGATCTTCTCCTTCTCCTCACCCCATTCCATCTTTGCGGCCTCGAAAGTGCTAATCATGGCAGTCTTTTCGCCTTCGAAGTCCTCGTGGAGTTGGGCTTTTTGGGCAGCGAATTCCTCCTCGGCGGCCTTCTTTTGCGATGCGAAGTCCTCCTCGATAGATTGCTTCTGTGATGCGAAGTCCTGGGTGATCTTGTTCTTCTCGGCCTCGAATTCAGCCTCGATCCGCTGCTTCTCTGCCGAAAAGGCGTCTTCCATGTCGGCTTTTTCTGAGGCGAATGATTCATGCATGCCTGACTTCTCGGTGGCCCACTCGTCTTGCATTCCCGACTTCTCGGCAGCGAATGAGTCCTCCATGGTAGCTTTCTCGGTAGCAAAGGTATCCTCCATGCTAGCCTTCTCGGTCGCAAATACCTCCTCCATAATTGCCTTCTCATTGGCAAACGCCTCCTCCATATTCATTTTCTCAGCGGAGAACGCATCCTCCATACCGATCTTCTCAGTGGAAAAGGCATCCTCCATTCCGAGCTTTTCAGTCGCAAAGTCTTCTTGCATTTCCTCCTTTTCCATGGCAAACGCCTCCTCGACGGCCTTGACCTTGGCTGCGTGGTTCTCTTCCAAGTCCTTTACCATGGCTGCATGGAGCTCTTCAAGCTCCTTGACCTTCAACTCATGGAGCGATTGGATCTCCTGGACTTTGTCTGCGTGAGAATCCTCAAGGTCCTTTGTCAGGCTTCCATGGTTCTCCTCGAGAGCCTTCTTCTCCGCCTCAAAGGTCTCCTCCATAGTCCTCTTCTCGGCATCGTGGCCCTCAACCATTGTAGTCTTCTCGTTGTCATGAGCGGCAAGGGTCTCCTCCTTCCACTTCTGGAATTCCTGCTCGAGGGCTTCTCGCTCTTGGTTGAACTTCTGCTCGAACAGGATTCTCTCCTTGTCCTTGCTCTCGATGGAGGCATTCAGCCTCTTGACTTCGGACTCCAAGTCGGTAATTTTAAGTTTCAGGCGATTGATCTCGGCGGTGTTCATTTGAAGGTTCTGCTCCATGTTCTCCTTGAGAGCCTCTAGCTGCCTTTCCTTTGCCTGTAGCTCTTCGATATCTTTGTCCTGATCTGAGGCAATTTGGTAGTAGCGTTGGAGCTCATCATTGACAGCATTGTACCGATCACACAGTTGTTGCAAGCTGGGAATGGAAAGGGTGAGTGAGGAAACAGCGCCTTGAGCCCTCTGAATGATACCATCGAGGTTGCTATGTGGGTCCGCTGAGTTGAAACCACTTAGCGGTGGTGAATGACGGCCACCGTAGATCGGACCATCATCAATGGCATCCTCAAATGGGTACATGTCTTGGCGGGGGTGTCCCATCTCACTAGGTGCATGGCTTGCATATCCCTGGCTACTTATCCGACGGACAAGCTCACTGCCGCCGCGGTATCCGTGCGCAAATGAGGGTCTACGGGTTTGTGGCTGCTGGAGATGGGCAGAGTTTGGGGCTGTTGGAGGGTATTGACCACCATATCTGTCATCTTGGCGTCTCTGAGGATATTCTTGGGGGATCTGGATAGGTCTAGGAGGCTGGTAATTTGAGACGTGGGGGAGCTGCTGGTGGTGCTGGTAATATGAGGGATATGAATTTGTGCTTGGAGGTGTGGTCTGATGAGGGGGTGTTGGGGGATATTGTCCATGATGTGTGTACCGTGGAGAATATGGGCCTGTGGGTGATCTTGAACCGGACTTCATCATTCTTACTGGCTCTGGGAGAGGTGCAAGATTGTCTGAGGGGAGAGGAGAAGTCGGTGCGTCAAGTGGGGGTTCTGGGGCCCTGGGCATGCGCTCCCGGTGGTGGTGGGTTGGTTCGTCGATGGAACCAGGTGGTGTAGGGATGGATACAACAGATGTAGACGCCATATTAAAGATTTTGTCAACCTCAGGAGATATCTGAGTTCAACTGTTCACAGTACTAATATATATTCTGTGAAGCTTTTGTTAGTTCAATGATTATGTTGAGGGTTTTGGGGCTGCGAATGGAGGGTATATAGAGAGAGAAGTAGGATGGGAATGGAGTGATAAAGGGATATCTCGAGATATTTGAACAAGCCTCAACTTACAAGACGGTAATAAGACAAAAAAATCTTATAATCAAATGCTTTACTCTGAATGAGATGTTGTAATGATGGAAGCTCTGTATCGTGGCAAAAAGCTAAAAGAGAGGGTCGTCAAAGTCAGTCTATATACCCACGATGGTGGCCCTTAGACAATAGAGGCATTGCAATATGAACAGATCTCAGGAGCGGGGAAGCTGGTGTGATGGAAAAGAAAGAAGCAATTGTTTTGCTAGAGATACGGACATACCGAGCGGGCCAGGAGCTCCAAACAGACAGACTTTTTTGCAAGGGCGGGGTGTGGGGTACCTTCTTGCCTGAACATGCAATTAAAAACTGTCAGTAAGGGATCAATCAATGTTCCGACTAGAAAATTAATAACTCGAACTAAAAGCACAGGACAGAAAGAAGGAAAAAAGAAAAAGAAATGTTTATTACAAAATGCACCAGAAGGGCAATATTCTGCGCCTTCAGATGGTGTGATGTGAAAGATGCCCTGGAAGACGATGGCCGCCGTGAGGATTAGGAGGGCGATATGGAAATGGGGGAGCCCGCGGGGGTTTATATGAAAATAACTTTTACGGGAAACATGGGACGACGGAGCATGATGATTCGGAGAAATCCACAAACCACAAATAATTCAAGATGGAGATATCATATATTGGAAACGGAACGGGATAAAGAGAAGAGGCAGATGGTGGGTAGGTAGGGGGTGGGCGCCCTCAGAAAATAATTCGTAGAGGTAAGAAAGGCAGATCTTTTGGTAGTACAATCTGTAGGATAGGATAACTGCTTATGCAGATATCGTGCTTGTGGAGAATGACCCTATGGTGTGTGCGTGGAAAAAATGTACTTACAGTACACTTTCTTTTTTGACGTAGATTCCTACCTAGGTCTTCCGTCTTCTACTTCCTTTTTTTTTCCGTGATTAAAGAAAAATAAAATTCGAGTACAGAAATATCTCCCAACGAAACAAATCGCTTCTGAACAGATGAGAGATACTCAAGTGAAGAAAAAAATATTTGTGGAGGGGCTTCTTACATACGGGTTGTACCTATTCGCTCGCAAGACTTATGGGAGGAGAAATATAGGAAATACCACACGCTCTGTCTGCCCTCATAATTTCTACAAAAATAAGAGAGAGGCTGGATGGCACAAAGCCGCTCGAGGCGCACGTAATGGCCGTCGGAAGCCGCGTTGACAGGAGAGACGTGGCCGTCACCGGCTCTTCGCTGCGTCCACATTGCTATCAATGGTCGGGATTTCTCACTAATTAACATGAATTACCTAGCATGTAGTCCGAGAAAGTAACGGAGGAGCAAAAGACCTGGTGGGATTTACACGAGAAAAGAATAGTTTGTTGCTGTGTTGTCAACTGACCCGCAGTTGCATGGATGAACTCTGCAGTTGAGTACGAGGTTAGAGTAGAGAAGTACCCAGAATAGCGAATTACTTACGATTTGAGGTTCCCACGGTCTCGGCCATGGGCGATCAGCAAATAGATGAAACGCTGCCCTAAAACGCTGCCCTAGAGTAGAATAGATACACACGCATCACGCCTACCTGCATATACGCAAAAAAGACAAACCTCCAGAGCTAGTGAAAAACAGTAACGCCTCATAACATCCATTCTTGCTTACATCGAGTCGAGGAATCGCGGTCAACTGAATGGGCAGTACGGACCAATAGTCTCGATTTCTCACTGTGTTTACGGGTAGCACTGTCACATCATGAGGACTTGACACATTGAATGTAAACGAAAAAGAATTACAGACATTTCCCCCCCCCGGAACACTCGCTTGTTATGATAATCTCGTCGGATTTTTAAATCAAACTGATCCTCAAAGGAGGATCTACATGCCAAGTTCGGGGACTCTGGACGTCATGTCACGGTGGAGCATGGAGATTCTTTTCCCCGGATCCAAGCCAAGCAGCAAGGGTGGAGGTTGCTCTGCTGCCACCGTTCTCAGCGAACAACGCATCACCAATAACCTTGTGTCCCCCACCACCTCCACGATACGTCAAGCCTCAGACCCGTTCAGTATTCGCTGCACATCAATCTTAGGCTTACAGTCATGTACGTACGTACAGTAGCTTCTTAATTCCAATCCAGACATAGGTAGGCGACCTCGGCAGCTCACATTTTTGTGGGGCGAGACATCCAATAATACCACTGACGATTGGTACATACATACGTTCAACATCAAACTACACTGTCGATACCTACGTATCTGTCGATGAGAACCCCCAGTCTTCCATCATCTAAAACGATCTCTATTGCTCACGTTGGGACGACTGCTGATACCCGCCGCGAGATCCACGATATCGATGATGATTCTGATATTTGAGAGGACGAGAGACTCGCTCGGTACGATGGATACCGTTTACAGTCAAAAACCCAATCACTAATTATCACTCTATGCAGAGTGATGCAAGAGTCCAAGAATGGATCCAAGCTTTGCACCCTAATATATCTTTTGGGGCTGTATGTATGGCTCAGGGACCTAGCTTGCCTATTTGCATGCACAAATTTTTATTTTCAAATTTTTTTTCCTAGCTATGTTATGTAGGTGAGAGGAGCAAAGAAAAAATGACAAAATATTAACTGTAGACAGAGAGGGGCCGAAGATACAATGTCGTACGAACCTGCTTCTCGTATAGAACTGGACTGCATGTTTGCTTCTGGAGATATAGGCACGGGCCTGCTTTACTGGAGTACCTGCAAAAGTAGCTGGAAACGCAGGGTTTATCTGGTGTGCCCGCTCGTAGTGGCGTGGAATTAAACTGGGCCCAGAGAGGCAAATTCAACGTCGGTGGTTAAAACTCCTGCAGCTGCCCAACCTGAAGGAATTGCTGATGCATAAATCTGGGGGGCATGCGAATTGAGCACACACTTCCATATTGCAAACGAGAATTATTTAATTCCTTATCGTGTGTGGTGTTGTGATAGTTGCTGCTCAAGTTAGCCGTTTCCTACTAAAACAGCTTCTTCGACGCGCTCATAGGCTTTCAACAGCAAAGTGCATGCGTATGATGCCTGCCTATTATCCGGTACACGGATGATTACCGAAAATAATACCCATAGGAAGCTTCTAGGAACAGTACCTCCTTTTGTCGTCGTTTGTTTCTACATACATAGCATCTGTCTGTCCGGCTGTTAGATCTAAAGTACTCAACCTATCTTCCAGCGAATGCGGGCTACGAAAATCAGTGCAGGGCGGTGATCAATTCTCGCGGCGCTAGTGAGAGATGCGGCCCAATCAAGAGGCCGAAACCGTTACCAGGGCCGCCATGCGGGCCGCTGGCTTACCCTACCACACACGGAAGAACGGTTGAAATGATAAGTATTTAATTGCATCATTTATCATTACCGGCGGGAATTTTGATATGGACTACATGGAGAAAATACAATGTCATGCGGCTCTGGCAACCTATTAGAAAACTCTCTTTTTACCGAAATATCTGAAAATATCAGCGTGGGAAGAAAACAATTAATTTCCGCAGCCTTCTTTGCTTGTGAGCTGAAAATGCAAGTTGCTCAATAGTGTGGTCTTCCGAACAAGGCCACTTACGAGAAAGCAGGAACGAATTTTTTTATGCGTTGATAATCCCAGCGGGCCCGGGTTGGTTGCCGATTCACAAACGCCCACTTTACAATCGGCCCTGGCTCAAAAAAGGAATCATCTGTTGATAGCTGAGACTTATTATACCCCGTTTTCCATTGGGCTTGCAATTTGAACTTGGCTGGAGCTTTTGGAGTCTCTAAACCCTTGTCTGTCAGAGGAGTTTTCTTCCGAAGTTTTTTTTCTTCTACTTTTAGCTTGCCGGTCCAGCCTGAGTTGCATATAGTTGGCATAGTATGAAAGCATTTCCGTGTCTGGATGACTTTACGTACGAATGAGACTGCAGCAATATCTCGAAGCCAGCTTAATCTAATGATAGCAAACAAGTTTCCGCAAACTATCCGCAGGATAAAAAGTAAAGCGGTGATACCAACAAGAATGATCAATGTGCTAGCGTCCAAACCGTTTCTCTAGCACTTTTTGTCAGCCCTAAATCGAAGAAAAAAAACAGGTACGAAAACCTCTAGTAATTGCGTCTGTTTGCAAGCGGGATCACTACCCGGAACCTCCAAGGGATGCGCGCTAGGAATCAAAACGCGTGCAGGACCTACAGTTGGGCGCTCTTTCGTCTACCATAAAATATTCGAATCTGCGGTGGTTGCTTTCATGTATCCCCCCACTGAGCAAACGGATATGTCTTGCATTTCCATTGACACATATTAACCACGACTTTCAGATAGCTTTTATTGTTTCCTTTTGAATGCATCAAGAAAAATTTCAAAGTATATGCGTTTAATGTTTGTTAATCGAAATTTTACTTGAGTGTTGTTTTTGTAGGCACCTGGGTAGCTGCTATCAACGTTGTTGTGGTCTATTGTTCCAATGAGCAGCGAACAATTTTTGTCTCATCTCATGAGTCAACCTTTTTGGGAAATCCACAGCCAGTCGGAAAGCACAGTTGATCACTCGACACACACAGCTACTCCACAACAGCTACTCCACAACACCACTAAAACCTACAGCACACAGATGTCGTTGGTTAACGCCGAAACCTACGCCTGCGCCCTCTTCTTAGCAGTCTAGTAATTACCATTGGAATTGTTGCTGTAAATACCGATCGGATAGCTTGCCGATGTTTTTACATTGCTGGCTACTAAAGGTTAACAAGTGAGGTAATGATCTGTGGCTCATGGAGGAAAACACCCAGGCCGTCAATAGTTCACCCAAAACCACGTACTTAACTTGCAATTAATCCTTATCTTGAGATTTCACAAAATATTAGGCTTCACCGCAACTTCGAACCGAACACGGGCATATTCTCACAGATAAGATGTTTTTGGTATATAGGTACATGTAGTAGGAGAAGCTCCGACTTTCAGATACTCTATCAGTAGCCACCACTTCATGCAAACGCCATGCATGAATGCTACATGAAGTGCTTGCGCCGTTAAAAAAGTAACAGTAATAATTGATAAGGATATGCAGCGTGTGAACCCTGATGATCATCAATTACGAAAATATGTGAGTATAGGGTTGGGCCCAATAGGATTAGCGGCCCTAAATTAGTATCGCGACTGTGCGCCATGCCTGTTGCAGTGTGCATGCTGCGCATCATATACCATCACTCATTGAAAGTCGTTTTTAGAAGTGTGCAGATGACATGTGCAGAGCGAGGACCAAGACCCAAAGTGGGGGAATCCCACAAACATTGAATGGAAGAAATCCAAGCGGTAACGTTTTAGACCGGGTTCTGTGTCAGACATAGAAGAGTGTCAATCCCATACAAATTTGTATGGGGATTTCTGTTGCCAAAGCTATCTCCACCATCTCTTGAGATATTTACTGCCAGATTTTTAACAAATGAATTCCATTTAAAAGCACACGGATTAGGATGGTTTCCAGATGGATTATCCTCTATTATGGTGTTATGGGGTCTTCTTTCTTTTTGGGGGCTTTGTGTCTGGTTTTGGTGCCGTTGCCATGCGACACACTTCTAGGTCTGACACAGTACTGGGTCGAAAACGTTAACCCATCCTTGATTTGGGGTAATTAATTGAGACAACCTTCCTCTTCACCTGGTTCCCGGGACCGTAAATTACTTTCCTTGCGAATTACTCATATCTTACGTGCAGAAAATAGGTGTTATAGCCTATGGAAAACCGGGAAGTATTCGGTAAAATGCTCAAAGACCTGAAGAAGTTTTATCCAGAATAATATCATTCTTGGGTCCCGTTTCGTGCTTTGTGAGCTTTCGCCCTGATGAACCGTTCTTCATACATTCCTCGGTACCTGCAACGAGAAATAATCGGAAGCGGTAAATTGAGACATCAGATCAGTAAAGCATGTATGTAGGCCAGGCGGCGAGTTCCGTTAATATTTCCCTTTGCCACACTTTAACTGAGATGTGCAGAGATAAACCAAAATACCACAGATTACACAGGTGTGCCCTTTAGATGGCCCCAAATCATTCTTAATCTCTCAGTCGCAGCTCTCCCATGGATACCTTGCTTTTGCTTCCCCTTTTTATCGGCCATAATTTCTTCCCTAGCTTGCCGTACCACTTCTACAGCATTCCCCCAAACCTCTTCCGTATACACGTCCAGAGTGGAGAGAAACTCGACAGGATCATCACAGGCTACGAATAGGCGGATTGTTGGATTTGTTAACTTCATTCCCTGAAGATCTAGGTCTGGGGAGTATATTTCTGAGGTGAGGGGTTGTGAGAGGAGAGAAACAACGTCATGGCCATCCGATTCTAGCTCTGTAGTATGCGTAAAGCCATTTATGCCGGAGTCTAAAGGGATCTGTTGGCTCTCATGAAGCTGCGGGAAGGGCTGTCTTTTGAAAGAGGCGAATTCACCCTCTACAGAATAAGGTTGGTGCGGCTGCTGGCTTCGAAATCCGCCGGTTCCACTTGTAGTAGCAGTGGATATAGGAGTAAAAGCTAGTGAAGGAGGATGATGATCGGTAGAGAGGCCTCCAGCTGAGGTAGAGGGGTCTGTATAGGTACTGTGGGGTCGACGTTCTTGATTATTTGACTTTGTAGAAGCCAGGTATGATGAGGAAGCAAGCGAGTCAGTAATTAAAGAGGCAGAAGAAGGGCCAGTGATGGAAGAAAGAAGATCCGATGCTGAGGCTGAGATATTCGAGAAGGCGCCACCAGCTGGGGGGTCTACTACGTCGGGAGTCGAGTCCGGTATAGGATCGGTTTTTTCTGTTGGTTGGGTATACTGGCTTTTGGTATTTTCCGAGGACATTGAGATATTCGAGGAGCTTAGTCTTTATTGTAAGTACTTAGTCGTAAAGATAGTGTCTGCGAGGGGAGCAAGAATCAAATTCTAAAATGGCTATGAGTGCTTACATGTAGCCTAAAGATCAGTAGATGCACATGCAAATGTTGATGCATATCTGGGATTTTGCTTTGAAGAACCGAGGATACGGAGAGCTATCGCTCAGAGCCTCTTAATCGGAAGAAACCTTCCCGAAATCGGAACACCAGGGGAAAGCGGAAGCATCATGAGATTGCCGAAGTCAGGGTACATACATACTTTGGCGAGCCTTTGTTTTCCAGGTCCGCATATCTCTACATACGGGAATTTACCACGAGGGTACTTGAATGACAATGCCATATGCAAAAAGAAACAACTAAGTCAAGGGATTCAGCGGTGACTTGAATAGTAGTACCCATAGAAGCTACACGTACCTACATGAAGTAAAGTATTTTTTTCGTTACACGGTGATCTCATGGGAGTTGACGAGGGGCTTGTCCTTGGGTGACTAAGCACCCCACTCCGTATCAGATCAACCGAACCGTTTGTTCCCCCACCAAAGGCTACCTCAATACGGTGTTATCATTGACGTCGTCGTTGTCATCTCTGTTTCTCACCGTCGCCCGCTCTGCCATCTAACCACTGTTGTGCTGCGCTGTCACGAAGTAATAAGGCTCGGACAACAACTTACCTCTGTACTGCCAGCAATTTCTTTGATAGTTTGGATTATCATCACTCCACCCATCGCAAGCAAGACAAGACAAGGTAAATACAATCCAATTAATTCTTGTCGGGTACCTATCAAGTACTCCCCCCCCCTCTCACTGCTTCAGCAGTTGTCAGTCCGCATCAAGCCATCCCTCCCACTACATGACACGGGCACTGCCACTGCACCGTCACTGCCACTACATACCACCTCCGCTTCCGCTTCCACCTTCTTCCTCCTCACCACCAGCTACCCGATCCGCAAACCCATCCTTCCTTCTTCCCCCACAGATTATCTCCCCTCTTCCAAAAAGAAACGAATAGGCCTAGAGCCCGCCCCCCTCCATTTACCGCCGCCGCTTGTTCTTATCTTTTTATTGTCTGTGCTATTTCACGTCTTTCACGCTGCACTTACAGTTGGAACTCAACAAACCCCTCCCTTGGTCTCCTCCCTTTGCTTCCCACCCCACCCCATCCATCCATCCATCCAAGTGAACTTAACGACGTTGCTCCACGGCATCTTTATTTCAACAACGACTAACGTCGGATATTACTCCGCACCAGCCAGACGGAATTCTACAACGCCGCCGCTAGAATAAGCAATCCCGGCCTCGCTATCACCTGGGCAATCTCACCAATCTTCCCACTCAACCTATCCTTCCTCACACCTTCCCCCCCCATACCTCCCCCCCTATATTCTCCCTCCTCTTCAACCTGCAGCCATCATGGTCGACGGGGAGACAGCATCTCCGACCTGGAAGTTTACACAGTACGTCTTGCTCTGTTAATTAATGATTTGCTAGCTACATGTACCTATTTTTGGAGCGGGGCAGGGGTTGTGACCCCACTTCCCCGCTGATATCATAACACTGTTCTTTGATTCACTCGGATTGGAACTCTCTCTAATCATTGGTGACAATTTAGGTGCTTTGGTGACAAGGGAGACGTAGAGGATATCACAGAAGGTAGTTTTAATCTGGCTGATTGCCCATTCCATACACGATTGTTCATAAGCTAACGTTTATGAAACCTTTTCAGCTGATATAATATCAACCGTCGAGTTTGATCACACCGGTAACTATCTAGCAACAGGTGATAAAGGTGGCAGGGTGGTATTATTCGAGAGAAACGAAACGGTAAGTTCCTATATCCCTGTAAACCATTTGTTACAATCTTACTGGCCGATCTTTTGGTTTTCGACTCGCTAACCTGGGATATGTTCCAACGATACAGAAGAAAACATGTGAATATAAATTCCATACTGAATTTCAATCCCATGAACCCGAGTTCGACTACCTAAAATCCCTCGAAATCGAAGAAAAGATCAACAAGATCAAATGGTGTAAGCGGCAGAATGCTTCGCACTTCCTGCTGTCGACAAACGACAAGACTATTAAACTTTGGAAGGTGTTTGAGAAGTCTCTCAAGGTTGTCGCCGAGAATAACCTCTCGCATGATGGTGCAACTACTGCTGTTGGGGGTATCCGGCATCATCTCCAACAGCCACCTCCGATTTTCAATAATTCTACCGCCCTAAGACTACCAAGGCTCACTCACCATGATACGGTTGTTGCTGCAGTTCCCAGGAGGACCTATGCAAATGCTCATGCGTATCATATCAACAGTATCTCTGTGAATTCTGATGGAGAGACCTTCATTTCCAGTGATGACCTGAGGATTAACCTATGGAACCTAAACATCCAAGACCAGAGCTTCAATATCGTTGATATAAAACCAGCGAATATGGAGGAACTGACCGAGGTGATCACCGCAGCAGAGTTTCATCCGCAATATTGTAACTGGTTCATGTATGCCAGCAGCAAAGGGACCATAAAGCTGGCTGATATGAGAGAAAGCGCGCTTTGCGATCAACATGTGAAGTGTAAGCTTTGAGCTTCTGATATTGATGAAACGATAAAGCTAATAGGATATCTTGAACATAGTATTCGAACAAGAAGAAGACCCATCTTCCCGTTCCTTCTTCTCTGAGATAATTTCCTCCATATCCGACGTTCGTTTTTCCTCTGATGGCCGATATATCCTCTCGCGTGATTACCTCACCGTGAAGATCTGGGATATAAACATGGAGAACAAGCCCGTCAAGACTATTCCGATCCATGAGCACCTCAGACCACGACTCTGTGACACTTATGAGAACGACTCTATCTTCGACAAATTTGAGGTTGTGTTTTCAGGGGATGGCAAGAATGTCATGACCGGGTCCTACAACAATAACTTTATGATTTATCCTAGCGACCCTGAGAAAGAAGTCGAGGTGGTGTTGCAGGCAGATAAGAGTGCCTTCAAGGCTAAAAAGGTGGGTGTGCCTACTCCCATTAACGGTGGAAAGAAGGGGGGTTCGAGAGCAGGAAGTCCTGCTGCCGGTTCCGGTCCTGGAGGAAGAATGAGGAAGGAAACAGATGCAGACCAAATTGATTTCAACAAGAAAATCTTACACATGAGCTGGCATCCATTTGAGGATTCGATTGCTATTGCAGCTACGAACAATGTGAGAATTCTCTTCTTAGTAATCTCTAATGCCCTTGCTGACCTTTGTTTTAGTTGTTTGTCTTTTCAGCATTGTAGACCGGTTGTACCCATTCCTTTGCAATTGGAGGCCCGTCGTTCAATGAAACCAAGCGTTTGTGTTTTTGTTTGTCTTGACTTCATAAGAGTGACCCCCTGGGAAATTTCCTTGTTTGCATTCTCTGGTACTGTTGCGACCCGTGCCCTTAGTATTCTACCAAACAAGCCTTTCCCGACAATATTGAAGTATTAAGCTTAATATGTTGTTTCTGGGAAAAATATAGCGCGCTTAAAGCCGCATGAATGTAAAAAAGATCCATCAATTTATTTGACTTAAAGGTCCTCCTTGAAAGACGCAAGGTTGACGAACTACCGTTGTGAAATGATCAGTAAACTACCCATCTCTCTGTTACTTTGCGCAAAGTTTGTACCCCATGTTGGATGAATTATCGGATCTATAACTGTCTCGATGGATCACGCCGTCGCATAGGTCAGATCAACTGCATCTCGAGCTAGATCAGCCTCCATATTTTGTCCGCTCATTGTTAAAAGCCTGCTTTGTTGCTAAGGGATTTTCCTAAAATACGTTTTGAAAAATAAGCATACCAGTTCAAATAGGACCATAAATCTTTTAGATGAGGGAAATACTTGACGTTCGGACCTTCCTTATGCTCAATGATGCCAGTTCGATGAGTTATCTCCATCAACATCGGCATCACCCCCACGCCCGAGGTATGTGGAAAACTTCTCGCCAAGTTGAAAATGTGACCGAACAGAAATATCGGGATCGAGGACTTCCCCGCAATTTGAATTATCAACGGCGTATGAGTAGTACATACTTTGTGCATGGATGGGTGGAGGATTATTATGTACATAAATCGATTTTCGAGTTAATAGCGCTCGCTTGGATAGGCTTCTTATCGATGGATGCATGCCGGCGCGGGGCATCTGTGGAGATGATGATCCAGAACGACAGGATGTGGAGTGCTATGGGGATGCCATCCATGCTTGCCTGACACATGCAGTTATGCAGGCGTACACCCTGTCTAAGGCACGGGTGCGAGAAGCGAGGAGGATCAATGATTTTCCGCGTCTACACTTAAGGATCCACGAATCCTCGCTGACTAAAATATTAATGCTTCACTTTTGCATCTCGAGCCATTTCTTCTAAGGTAGTTAGATTATTGCTATACATGTGTATATAGCCACATGTATTAGTAGTTCCACTTCTGAAGATGCAATGTATACATCGTATACATGTATCTATGTATGCACAATACGCATATGTATGTAGGTATGTACAATACCGATATATGGAACCTATGCCTCAAGTAAGGCTTGTAACCAGAATAAGAGAAAGCAGATTAACTACCTTATATACATTTCTGAACCCTGCTTTTTTTTTCTTTCTTTTTGCATAGATTGCGGTGAGTTCGGGAGTACATAAGGCATGTGCCAGTCAGTTCTTATTTTCTTTTTTGACGTGAGCCCTGTGACCTAAAGGGGAATTGAGAACGTCCTGCGTAAACATCCATGGGACGTTTCATATCCTTCGAAATTTGAATCATGTGAAAACCACATTCGCTTCAAGCACAGAACCTCGCTGTGAAATTTTATGGCGCAGATATCAAGATAATTTGTAATTTTCAGAATGCCAAGGCTAGCCCCCAAGTTCGGTTGGAGGTATTTTAAATTTCAAGCCCACGTCTATCGTGCGAATACCGGCTTGAGTGGTAAAATCTTTTAGTATCCTTGTCGAGAAATCGTCGATCGAAATTTTTTGTCATTCCAAGACGCCCATATGTTCCTGCTCTCGTGACAAATAAGCTTATGAGATACTTCTAAGATGTAGTTACATAGTAGGTTCATGTGCGAGTAACCTTGGTATAGTGGGTATAATATACCCGTTTATTTAAAACCGTCCTGCTAGTACTATCCAATACCTTTGCCTTCCCCTGGACTAGCTGGCGCAAAGCCTCGGGGATGAGGGAATTATTCGTTGTATTAGACAGGTTTAAATTCTGTCAATCAGTCACAGATGCTTAGATGCAAGGCACGCAGAGCAATTGGCCTCAATGGGTTGGCAGGTATGTCGGGGGACAGAAGGAGATGGCCACTAAGCTATGTACGTGTTATGCAGATAAGATTTTTGCCCAACCATTGACTGAGTCCACGGCATCTATTATGGCAGAAATTTATATGTGAACCTCGGTGCTTCCTTGGGTTGGCTTTTGGGTTTATGAAAACAAGTAGTAAATCGAGATCCTTTTGAAACATCTGTTTTTGGTGTTGTGCATGGTTGTTGCCTTGAGATCTTATGAAATTTGCCACGTGACCAAAATAGCAACTGCGTGCTCGCGAGTGGTGTCTTGACAGCATTGAGGCTCAAAATTAAGCTTTTTTAAAACGCCAAGTATTTGCATTTCAGGGATCCCCAGTCAATCAGCACGCGAGACACTCAATTCACTCTGACTGTGCTGATGACGCAAACTTAGCTTCAACGTTCTTCAGCTGAGATTCAACATATTTTCTTAAGGCACCCCAGATTCTGATCGAATCTATAGACAGGTGCACCGCCTCCTCCCTCTATTCTTTCTTTCTTTCTTTCGCGGGTTCAACTCCGATGGCCAACGTAGCTGAAAACATGGGATCAACACCGGCAGTTTTGTACGTCACAGGAAATGGTAGATCTCTGAATAGAAGTGTGACCTTTTTATTTCTTTGTGTGTCTTCGTGTTTCTTTCCTTCTACCTATTATATTACAAGAACATGCAGTGACATGATAGTCCTGAAAAGGGATAAGAAAAAGACCGCCACTCGTCCATCATTGCCATCGTAAACACAAGTCTCATCATAGCATGAAATATACAAAATTTTAGCAAGGAAAAAATTCGAACAACCCAACCAAAAAGTAGGACAGCCACCCAACAGATCCGATGAGATATATGAGATGTGAGGTAAAAAAAAAAAAGAAAAAAAAAAGATAAAGATGGGAGACCGCCAACAACATTTCCTCATCCCAAGCCACACCACCGTGCCACCACCCACCACTACCACCACCACCACCACCACCACCTCCTAGGTTTGGAGATGAGTATACGCACTAGTAGAAAAAAACAAGCGCTCCATATGGGGTCTGCACCCTTCCGGAGTCAAGTGTTTTTTTCAATATTATACTCATCCCCTTGCGACCCGAAGCGGAACCGCTGAGCGCGAACCCACACGCTCAATGGCACCGCTTGGGCCGCAATAGAAAGTCCAGTGCGAGACCAAGGAGAGGACTCCCTGCAGTCGGACACTGGGCTTTCGAATGATATGTCTCGAGCAGTGTCTTTGTTTTTTCCTCCCGCAGCGCAACTATTTGGGTTTTATAATTGCCGATTCAATACGCCAATCGTTCGAGTTTCATCATCAATCAACAGTGTCGCTATCAATGTTCCATGCAGATTCGTTTACGATGTCGAATGTAGGATGAAAGTTGTGTTGAAAGTCCGAGATGCCGCGATACTGATGTACAGAGTTATCGACACCGTCAAACATAACCCAATCGCCGGTCATCATAGGATTTGTTCTTGATCCACCACGATAATCCTCAAAGTTATTTGGAACTATGGATAGGGGGCTTTGATCATAATCGGTGGTATTTGTCATAGGAGATGCCCACGGGTAATCATTTCCTGGAAGCTGGCTGGGATCCAAGTAATTATCAAGGAATAAAGGAAAGTCGCCGGGTTGTGAAGCCTGGGAAATCTCGAGATTCTCATTCGGCATGACCGGCGTCGAAGACTGTGACTCATTTGCAATAGATGTGTTCTTCTTTCTCCTTGTCGGGGTAACCGGTACTCCCTGATCTCTCCTCCGCGGATTCCTCTTCATTCGCTTGTAGATGTACTGGTGCGCTTTCTCCATGTGTTGTTTGCAATTGCTCTCACGCTTTGATTTGTATGTGCAAGGGGCGAATTGGCATTTCCACTCTTTTGAATTTAAGGCGTGAATGTCATTTTGGTGACGCTCCTTCTCCTTGTTGGTAGGAAATCCTTCAGTGTGGTATTTGCAATTTACGTCGTCGCATTTGAAAGGACGGTCATGTGTCTTGCGATGTTTCGTCAGGTCGCAAGGACGGGGGAAGGTCTTTTGGCAAAATTCACAGGAATAGTTGGCAGGTTCCTTGGAATTGGCTCGGGAAATTGGTGAAGAGTGAAGCGGAGAACCAGCACTAATCGCAGAAGTGGGTTCTGATGGAGACGTTGCGAAACCACCTAAGGCAAGGGTAGAGGCGGCGGTTAAAGGTGTCTGCAGGGTTGCTGGGGAATATCCGCCATGGTTTATCATGGTAGCAGTCATTGCCAATTGATCACTAGGTTGCCATGGCTGCGATATAGTAGGCTGATAATACGCCCGAACATCGCAGGATTGACTTTGAGCAATGGTGTTTTTCGTGTTCTCGTCAAATTGAAAAGTAGAATTGTTGCCTATATGAATCTGAGGATGACCAACCAATTGGCAGGAATTGTAGACCTCAGGAGGAACCTGAGTAAGAATTTCAAGTTGTTGTTTGGATGTATTGTTTTGCCTGAGCTTCGCAACTGGCTTGATAAACGGCCCTTGTGAGTTGAAACTGGTAGGATTGATCGCTGGTCTTTTAGTGACAGATTCCTCGGCATCAGCTGATAACCTTCGCTTAGACACTCGCTGTTGGGCATTGGAATAATGCATAGCGCCTCCTGATACTAGGGCAAGCTGATCCAAAAAATAATTTTTTGTGTAGGGAATGTCTTTCTCCCGAACACGATCTTTCTCAAGAACATCAGGGTAGGCATTCTGAACCCCATTAAAGAGAGCATTGAAGAAGTTTTCCGGCGGAGTGTTTGGACTCATATTCTGCACCGGATAGTTAGCGGTGAACCCTGCCAAAAAGGAGTGCATTAGGGATGTACCTACATTAACCATATTCGTGATGTATTTCTCCACATCTCTGAGACACCGAATTTTCCCTTGATACATTCTCTCCTTCGCACAGGAGAGGACCTTCTTTAATCCAACAAACTCAAGGTTATCCA